AAAAAAAAAAAAAAAAAAAAAAAAGAAAAGAAAATAAAAGCGAAAAATAAAAAGAAAAAAAACAAAACAAAATAAAATCCAATGGGATAGTCTAATCCACTCATCCGTGGAAGACATACATCACTAATGCAGACTTGATCAAGTCAACTTTTCTCCTCTTCGTGATGTTACGGCTCATTGTGGTAGCAAAAAAAAAGTGTTACTGGGGAACTATGGAACAGTGTTGTTGTCCAGAGTTTCAGAGCTAAGAATATGTGTGTGTATGGTGTTCAACGATGAGTGTTTAGTGTGTGTGTCGTGTATGTGTTCTGTTTTTTATTTTTTTTTTTCTTTTAAAATTTCGGGTAGCGGTGTTTTTTAGTCTTGTGTAGTGATAGTGTATGCAATGTGTGTTATATTTTTACGCAAATAAGAAGAAGAAGAAGAAGAAAAAAAGGTTGTTAAATGTATTACGATATTGTACAAAGCTAAGAGCTGATCCTCTTTGTTTTCTTTTCTTTTATTTTATTTTATTTTTTTTTTTGTAAGTTCAACAGCTATTTGGCTTTTAAGAAGTAGTGCATAATGCAGTATTGCACCTGCTAAACTTAAAAAATTACTAAGTTAATACGTGGTAAGTATACGTTATATATACATAATATACAAAGGCATAATAAAAATTGAAACATATTTTAATATCAACATTAAATATGAAGTACAACTAAAAAAAAAAAAAGTCTCAAACGTCTAACTGCTTAAGTGAATATGCGTTTGTATTATAACTATTCTTCTATATTATTATTATTATTATTATTATTATATTTTTTTTTTTTATATTGTTATTTCTGGGGTAATTATTATTTGTGTGTCTGTATGCACATGAGAGCAAAATTGTTAATAATATTGTGTCAAGGTCCTTTGTCGTAACTTTACCGCCATCCGATAAAAATATTGCAGGAGGAGGAGACGAGGGGACACGCAGTTATGCAGTGTTTCCTACTTGTATTATATGTAGGTGCATCATATACAGTACAATAATAAAATAGAAAATAAAAGCAATGCATTGATGTAATGAATAGACAACACAAATAATTACATACATGACACACCGTTTTGTAAGCAAAAGACACAATACAAGAGAGAGAACATGCAATGACAACTGACAACAAGGGGAAAGCATCAACAGGGGGGGAGTATGAGGGAGCAATGATATATACATGTATATACATGTATATATATATATATATATATATACATATGTACAGCCACACTACTGACTTTATGAACAGAGATTAGGTTCTGTCTGCCCTCTTTCACTGCTCTCTCGTGTTGTACTTTTTGTTGAGTATCACATTTATTAATAGGAGTGCAGAGAATAATCGTACAGAAAGAAAAGGTACAATAGTTCATACATGATTTCATAGGACTGTAAATTAACACTTACTGCATAAAAAGACTTAACGATTGTGCAGAATATTATTGTTTTTAGAGACAATAAAAGATTTACACAAACTTCATTAATAGCTGAGAATGAACGAGATGAAAGAATAAATCAAACAATTTCGTCTAATTAGTTTTTGTTTTAGGGACATTAAGCACAACATACCCCAACACATACATCCTACATAAACCCAGAGAGAGAGAGAGAGAGAGAGAGAGAGAGAGGGTACTAAAGCGAAAGTAAAAGTCAAATATACAACATAGAAGCTGTTGCATCTTAGTATAATCTTCAGTTGCAAGTAACTCATACGTGCCCTATTTTTCATTTCACCATATGTGACCGTCTTCCCATTACTTCCACGGGTAAGTAAAAAGTCTAAATTTTTGTTTTCATTGATCTTTTCCATATTCCAATACTCTTTTTCTTTTTCTTCTTCTTTGCCATCATCAAAACAAAAATTGTTGAGTTTTAGTCCTTTTTATTCGTTTCATTTCTTTTTTATTTTATTTTTTTTTTTTTTTTCATATTTATTTTCTTTCAGTTATAAAATTTAGACTTTTTTTTTTCTCTCCGTGTAAGATAATATTATAGCTACTTATTATTTACTATTGTAAATTGGGTTTGATTTTGTGCCTGAAACTAAGACAGTATAGTATGTTTTGTATGATAGAATATAACAATAATAATAATAATAACAATAGGAAATGACTTACAAAATAAAAGCAATGCAAAATTAAAGATACACAAAACACAAACCAAACACAAACCAAACACAAACCATAAAAGAAATAAAAATTAAATAAAAAAAAAAAAACCAACAAACAGCAAAACTAAGCTGCACAACAACAACAACAACAACAAACGACTTCAAAAGCAGCAGCAGCAGAAAAAAAAATTCACACCAGCAGATAACTCAACTCAATAGTCCACCCAGGTTTATTTGACTTCATTCAGTAGAGTCTTTCATCTGACAGCAATCACACACAGATATACATATATATATATATACCTATTCACTACTACTGCAAACACAAGGGACATTTACTTCTCTATTTTGCACGCAAAACATACACATTTTCCCTTTATATTGCACATCACTTGCTACAACCACCACCACCACCAGCTACACAAACGACATCCGTCTCACTCCTTGATCTGTCATAAAACATCACATCTTTTCCCCATTACATTACACACACTTTCCTCATGGCAAAACGAACAGCTACCACTTCAACTACTAGTGCAGATCCATCCTCGCCTATGGTGAAGAAACAAACAATTCACAGTACATACGACACAGCAGCAATCGAAACTTGGGTCAAATGCGGTGAATGTGCAAACACCCTTGGCCTTACAAAAGAAGCAATCAAATCTTTTGAAAATGCTGTGCATCGAGATCCATCAAATATTACTGCCCTTTGTGGCCTAAGTCTATCACTTCGTGTTAATGACATCACTCAAAATGAAACTTTTGGCTCTCAATCAGCTATAGAAAAGATTAATGCATCAATCGATATGTTCCCCCATCTTTTACAACATCTGAACATATTCAAAGAATTGGCTGAATGTTATTTACTCATTGGTTTAAATGATCAAGCGCATCAAGCTATACAATCGGCCATACAATTATCACCAAATGATGCATCATTATGGTTGCTAAGCGCACAAACTTTGATTCGAGCCGGTGCAAGAAGCCATGCAGCCAACTCCCTATCACATTGCTTATCTTTACTACCACCCAACGAATCAAGCTATTCATCTCAAGACATTGAAACTGCTAGAGCTGCTCATGCTGAACTAGCAGCAATTGCTGCTGCCGATGGCAACATTGAAACATCAATAGCAGAACTCACTTCGACACTTTCTTTACCTCCACCACCATTATCCAGAATAGATGAACATATCGCCCTTTGGTGTGCATTATCAACAGCTAAAGAACGTGCTAATGACATCACTGGCGCCATTAAAGCATGCGAAGATGCACAATTGGCTGTGGGGAACTCTCCCCGAATCTTGATGACAAATGCGTACCTCCTATTACTTTTGAATCCTAAAGAAAATGCCGATGCTGCCATCACCATCTTGAACAAGATTGTCAACTTACCTGCTGACGAATCATTGATTAATGAAGGGACCGATTTCTTACCCTGGTACTTGTTAGGAAGAGCTCACTCTTTTGTGGAACGTCCAAGATTAGCTTATGACTCATACCAAGTTGCATTGAAATGTGCCTCAAACTCTCCAATAACATGGTTAGCAGTGGGGAAATTGTACCTTGAATTGAAACAGTTGCCAGATGCCTTGGCTGCGTACTCGCAAGCATTGAAATTACAATTGGATGATGGGTCTCAGGGTACTGCTACCGCATGGGATGGATTAAGTTGTGTTTATGAGCGTTGTGACGATCACTTGATGGATGCTTCAGATGCATGTAATCGAGCTGCTTTATGTTACAAGGCCATTGGCGATTTGAAAAATTACAATTACTTTGAATCCAGAGCTGACCAATTTGCTAGAGCTGCGAAAAACTCGGCGCCCGTGCCGGATTTAAGACAACCTCCCGATGTACCTAGTTTCTTATTGAGAGATTTGGTTGCTTTGGCACCAAATGAAAGAATAGCATTTACTCAAACTCAAAGACAATCCCCACCACAGCAACATGCACAGCAACATGCACAGCCACCAGCACAGCCACCAGCACCACACCCTCAACAGCAACCACCACAACAGCAACCACCAGTGAAACAAGAACAAAACCCTTCAGTACATCAAACACCATCTTCACAACAACAGCAGCAACCTCAATATGGGCCTCCCCCACCTCAATCACAATACGGCCCACCACCTCCATCTCAGCAACAGTATCAACAGACACCACTGTACCATCCATCTCCCTATCAACAACCAACGGTGCCGCAACATTTGCAACCCACACCTCAACCACCCCACCAACAACCACAACCACCACAATCGCAACAGCAAACTCCATCACAACCGCCATATCGCTCTGTTGCTCAACCGCAATACTATTATCCACCTCCACCACCACCACCACCACAACTTTCCCAGCCGCAGCAGTACTATTATGCAGCGCCCCCACCACCACAGTCACAACAACAAAACCAACAACAAAACCAACCACAACCACAACCACAACAGCAGCAGCAGCAACATCAACAGCCACAACATCAACAGCACTCACCACCACAACTTTCTCGTCCCCAAATGCTTCACGCCGGAGCTGGAGCGGGAGGTCCACCACCACCGGCGCCACCACCAGGAACTCAATATCCTATGGTTCCCCCCAACCCAGGAAGTTTACCACCACCACAGGGCACACGTGGAACATTGGGTGGTGTGCCCGGATACGGCCCAGGACAAGCTCCTCCACCGCCGCCTAATTACGGACTGTATTTGCCCGTACCTGGTATAAACAACGGTGGGGGAGGCAGTAATGGTGGTGGTGGTGCTGGAGGAAGTAGTAATGGCAGTGGCCAACAACAACAACAACAACAACAACAACCGTATGGATCGCCTACTTGGAGGAGGTAAGTGAAGGTGTTGAGTTTACGCACATGGATCCACTCGAATTCTAAGATAACTGGTGGGTCATGTATAAAGATATAGAATTGAAATTATTCATATTATAGTTGTATTAATACAAATATATGATATTACATATAATGGAAAAAGTACAGGACGAGCTGCAAATGGCATTAAAGCGACCACGTAATCACTTATCACTAAGGCAAGTCATCCATTCCAGAATCTACTCCATCAGACCAACCGCATAAAATCAAACCAGGTACCGCTGAAATGCTCAAATTGCAACTCAGTCAATGTCTTATCCAATTTGGTGTCCTTGATAGCACACGGGTACGCCACGTTCAAGACTGGTAGTAGATCAGTTAGACTATCGCCAATATACATAATATTAACGTCGTCGGTATCATCCATGTTACCTTCGCCAACGTTGCCAACGTTGCCATTGTGAATAGTCCCTGCACTTGTGCCCAAGCTCGCTCTTCCAGCTCTTTCCTTTTGGTATTCAGTTTTCAATTTGTTGACGTAGTCCAACTTGTCCTGAGACGTCCTGATTTTAGGTTGTGGTAGCCAATTTCCTGTCGTTTTGCCTGCACTATCGAATTCAAACTCATTAGTAACAATCTTGATCTTACCAACTTCAACCTCACTCTTCTCACTCATCCCGCTAATGCTTGACTTTGTCAGGAAACCATTTTGGCGCAACACTTCATCAATCAACAAACTCGTCCAGTTCACACTCAATACCACAACTTCAATACCCTGATCCATACACCTGTTCAAAAACTCAACGGCTCCATCGCGCAACTTCACACTTGGTGCCAGATGTTGACGGATTTGCAATTCAGTCAAGCCGCGAAATACCTCATCTGATTCAAGAGCGGTAATAGAGCTCATTTCTACAGGACCCATGCCACGTTGGAACTCGACGTAATCGTCAATTGTCATTTTTGTCGTCAAGCTATTGTTATTGACATTGCCATTCTTTGTTCGACTTGCGCCGAATTGTGACTTGTATTTCTCGTAGTGGGACATGTAGATATCGGTATAGTGAGAGAAACGCGGCCGAAGTTGCGGGCTGTTGATGTAGGGTACTTGGGCCAAGTATTGGATCGTGTCCTTTGTGGTTAACGTTTCGTCCCAGTCGCAAATCACCAAATGGGGGCGGGCGTGGAATGATAATGGTGAAGATGATGCGGTGGAGATATTTGGAGTAGTGCTCATTCTTGATATGCGTGATTTGGATTGTGGTAAATGATGCTGATTGTGTAGGAGTCTTGATCGCATTTGTATGCGTAAAAAGTGTTTGGTTCAGACGGACTTCACCAAACATTTTTCAATTTTGGCTAGATCCGCTTTCGAAGAAGCGCAATTAAGAAATAAAAAAAACAAACCTACCAAAACCCTTTGATCCTTTTTCTCCATCTTTCTTTTCCTCCATATCAATAGAGAATTTTACACATCATACAATGAGTTCAGACAAACAACAAGATACCAAAGAGTTCGGTCAATTGGGTGACATTGCCAAGAAACTTGAATCTTCTCAAGGAGGAGATGGTGTTGATAATAAAGATTTGAAAGCTCAAGCTGCTGAGGCTTATGGTAAATTTGAGAAATTGTCCGACAAGGAAAAGGAAGATTTGGTTAAGGGAGGCTTGGGTAAACTTGAAGGAAAGAGTGGTGATGCTGTCAAGAAGTAATATTACACATTTGGAGAGATGAGTTTTGGAGTTGAGAAGTGTGGTTGCTTATTTTGTTTCTATGTACGCTTAATAAATGTCAGAGACTGAGTTCGTATTTGGCAGCTTGTAGAACTGTTCAAATGGGTAGATGAATGCTGCTCCTAAAAATAGAGCCTTGCTCTATAAATCATACTATGTCTGACTATGGCAAAAAAAATTTCCTAGTTGGGAAAGTCAAGAACAGGGTGCATATTGCATTTGCCTTCACAACTAAGAACATCTGTTATCTAGCATTTGCATCGATCTAAACACCCACTATTCTAACAAGAGCCAAAATATATAAAACAAAACGCACTTACTGAACTTGTTGTAGTTTAAATCAAATTCGCTTATCCACATTAACAATGACATCCGATAAACCAGCAAACGAACCAACCACCAACGAGACTCAAAACTACTCCAAAGGTGATCAATTGGGTCAAAAGGATTTAGACAAGATTCAAGAAGTTGCCAAGGGGATATTAAATCCCAACAACGAAAACCCTCAAATCAATGAATACATTCAATCAACATTGTCATACATTGGTAATGCAATGTACAAGATGCAAACTACCAACGATAAAAATGCCACGGCCAAGGAGATTGCCGACGATTTGACTGCTAAATTTGAAAGTTGGAAAGAGCAACGAGACAAGCAGGAGAAGCAAGATACCGGCGACGCAAACAGCAACACAGATAAGAATGATGAGGAGAAGAAGTAATTTAGAGAATGACGTCTGTGTCTGTGTCTGTGTCTGTGTGAGGGGGGAGCGGAGATTATGAATGTATACAATCCTTATATCCATTACAAGTGGGATAAACTCGTAGCAGACTCAAACCATGTATTCAAAAAATCAATCTAGCAAAGACGGGTAAATTGGTAAAACATCAGGATTGGATATAATTATGGTAATGTTGAATTATATCCCACCCCCTAGAATGTATGTTTCATCTTTGCCGGTTTTATTATTTTCTACATCATGATAACACACATGTGAGTTATCAAGTAATGACAGTATGTATGTATATTTTATCCTATGTAGAGGAGTTGTTTTCAGAAAGAAAGAAATAGTAAGCTTGAGAAATTTTCTCTTCTCTCGTGGATAAATGCGCGCACTTCACCTTTCATCATTACATCTCATCTCTGTGAAATTTACAGTATCCAAAATAAGAAATATATCCCCGTGTCATTGATTTCCATAAATTATGAGTTCACTCCCAGCTTGGAAAAGAGCCGGTCTTAGTGTCCAGCAGAACAAATCTGAAGAAGATGAAAACGATCTACTCGAAACTAGAAGAATCGATACTGCCGATTTAACCAAGAACCAATTGAAAAAAGTGGGTAATAAACGTAAACTACAAGAAGCACTTGGATTGTCCTCATCGACATCGTCATCAGGTAAGAATATCAGTGCAGTTAACAAGAAGCCACCAAAAAGGATAAAGTTGCCCAAAAATGAAAGAAAACCACCACCGATAAAGGATCAATATACATATTTGAGACAATTTGCACACGATAGATCAAATTGGAAGTTTAACAAGCTGAAACAGAACTGGATCTTGAAGAATTTACACAGTATTCCTAATGAGTATGAACCGGATTTGGTATTCTACTTGTCTACTTTGCAAGGTGGATCAAGAGATCGATTAGTTGACGAGTTGAAAAAAGTGATTGAAAAATGGAATGCCAAGTATGAGGAGATGGAGAAGAAAATTGAGGAGAAGCTATTGAATGGTGAGACTGAAGATGAAGGGAAAGACAATGGATCGGAGAAGAAGGAGAAGGAGGATGAACAAGCTGACTTGAGCTTGGAATTTGTCGTTAGATGCAAAGCCATACTATCGTCCCTAATTGATGATCAGGTAGAAATTAGGGGACATCAAGAGGGGGAAAGTACACAAGCTAAAGTTGAAGTAGTCAAGGGGACTCTGGAATCGAAGAATGACGGACATTTGGTGAGTGAAGCTAATGCTGAGACGACCACGGTCGAGGTGGAACAAGATGAGAAGGAAAAGAAGGAAACGAAGCAAAAGAAGGAAACGAAAGAAAAGAAGGAAACGAAGGAAAAGAAGGAAACTAAACAAAAGAAGAAGAAGAGGGAGGGGAAGGATAAAAAAGACAATGAGAAGAAGGAAAAGAACGTCAAATTCGAATCCCCAAAAGAGTCAAATGACGCTACTGATACCTCCAATTTGATTATTAATGAGGTTGAAGTGTGATTCTATATATAGATCTTCAAACTATATCAATCTTTCAAATGACTTGTCATTGTAGAAATCTTTTTGTAGTTGCCAAAAATTTCAAAATTTGTGCGGCAAATTAGCAAAACACACATTTCATGACAGACCATCACACGGGTCCTCCTCATTGCACAATGCCCGATATAAACTTTGACGTACTTCAAGACAGAGCCATTGATGTTGATCCTGACATCAGGTTTATGGCGTTGGAAGACCTTCGTAAATTTCTCACTGATGATGCAACCACAACCAGTCGAACTGCCATCAACCAACACTTGAACAAAATGATTCCCATTCTTTTGAAAATGTTGAATGACCCCAACCCGGATGTACAGAACCAAGCTGTCAAGTCATTTGAACCTATGGTTAGGTACTTGAGCAATGATTCCATCGTCAAACTAGTCAAGCAGTTATTTGCATTGGTTCAAGAGAGCAACAACAAGAATTCATCTTCGTCGAGAACTACAACAAGCTTTAGAAGCTTTACTATTTCAATACCCAACATGGCTTTAAGATCCTTGTTTGTACAGTCCAACTCTAGAGCCAAGTCAGACTTTGTTTCGGATAAGTTATCAATATCCAACTACAAATATGATCGTGAGTTGGCTGAATCTATTATGAAATATCTTGTGCCATTAATTTTGGAAAATGATACAACTATTGATAATATTGAGCTATTGATTGACTTGATTAATGAACTAGGCTATGTGCTTGTCCAAGGGGAGTTGGTCAAATTAGGAAGGTATTTTATCAATGTTGGATTCAATGAGCTGGGATTCATTGGGAAAAAGGCAATTGTTGGACTCGATGGGGTAACAGTGTTGATTCGCGCTTCTATTGCCATTGATGACTTGGTTGATGAAGTGTTGGTCCAAGTTGAACAATCGAAATTGACCAATAAATCATTTGTTTTGTACCAATTGTTTTCCGTCATTTTGAAAAGAGGAATCAAGCCTACCAAAGTTGACCAAATTTACAGTATAGTTGACCTAGAAATAGAGTCATCCATTACAGGCAGTGATGATGAAGACTTGGATTATGATTTACTCGAACAACAAAATGCTTTAAAGGAAGAAGCATTTACGACGTTGATTGACTTGGTGAATGAAAACTTCTTATCAACAAAGTACAAAAATGAGGTTCTTTCTATAATCACCAAGTTCCTCAAGTATGATCCTTTGCATGGCGATAGTGATGAGGATATCGACTCAGACGGTGAAGATGATATTGTATTTAGTGACGACGAAATTGAAGCTGGCGATGATCTGGATTATGATAACTCGTGGAAATTGAGAGCAAAAGCTACCATATTAGTCCGAGCTTTACTCTCAGGCTTCCCTGACACTTTGGAGATCTTGTCAAAGCAAGTCTTGCCAATATTGCCTCTCAGTGACTCAAATGACCAAGTGGTGGTTGAAGCTGCCAAATCGTGCATTGCAATTGTTCAATCCACATCCCCACGTGATGCTCAAAATGTTTCGCCAATAGGTCTGATATTGCGCGACCGCTTGGAAGATGTAAAGGAGGAACAATTGCCGTTGTTTCTTCGCATCGTTGAAAGTTTAAACCGATTTGATAATGCGTCATTGATCGAGTCCACTTTTGCTGTATTGAGCCTGCGGAATATTGTTTCTTCCGGCTCGTTAGATTACTTGCAATTCTATTCAAGTGTGTTGAAGTTCCACGACAACCTCGATAGCAAGATTATTGAACGTATCTCGAGAGATATTGCTACCAATCTCGATGACAAGTCATTCAATTTGATCTTGGAAACTTTGAGATGCCTTGGTTTACTTTTGAAACATAAAGAAGCTTCAAAGATCTCAAATATTGATGGAATATTAAGCTCGTTGACAGACAAGGTGGAGAACAGTAAACAATACCCTAGTGATTTGGTACGCCTTGCAATTATTTGTCTTGGTGAAGCTTTGGCCAGTAACTTGACTTCATCAGAGGGCAAGATTTTAGAAGTTTTCAAAACGTCGATTGGCTATGAAGGAATAAGCAAGGTAACTATTGACGTGCTTAAGAAATTGTACCATTTGAAGAACGTACCAGAGGATTATTCATTGTATATTATTGACAAGTTGACCAACTATCTCCTCTCTAGCAATGAAGCCACCTCATTAGCTACATTGTCATTATTGAGCATGATTATTCAAAAGTTGCCACCCAAAAAATACGACGGCATAATCACCAATTTGTTGCAGTTACTTCAAGTTACAAGCCCATTAAACTATCCGTACATTTTTCTGATTTTCAATCACTTGTCAAGGGAGGTGATACAAGATGACGAATACAGAGACCCATTGATACAAGTATTAATCAGTTTGGTTAACGACAAGAAAATAAATGGCGACGACAAGTTATTCTTTCAATTGGTTTCAGCTGCATGTCAATTGGACAATTCAATTTACTCTCAATTGGAGCAAAACTTGTCACCAGGTCTCCAAGTGACACCAAAAATTTTGGCTGTTTGCACGGACAGTCAAACAAGACAAGAGTTGATCACAAAGAGACTGAATGAGTTTCAAAAATACTATACTACGGACATCAACAACCCTCAATTTGCATTTGTCATCCTATTTTTGGCTTATTCAAATAGTGATATACCAGGTTTACTGGTTGATTTCTTAATTGGGCTTCTACAGAAACCCGCTTTCACCAACGATGCCAATGTCCAAGCAGCCTCAACTGCATTAGGGTTGCTCGCAAAAGACAATGCCACAGCTTCAATTGCACGGATCCTCGATGTATACAAGAAAGAGCTGCTGTCATTAGTTCGAGGTTCCTTAATCGACTCTTTGAAAATGGTTGTGGAGCAGTGTGACGAAGAGCAAAAATTATTGCAAATATGGCACACAATTTTTGGATTACAAGTAGATTACAGCCATGAATTGGTTCCTGAGTTGAGGAGATCTGGTGAACTTCTTGGCTCAATTGCAACTTCAATTGGCGAGTCAGAAGTCAGGCAAGTTGCCAATGATCAAACAGATTCAAGAAGAATATATCTCGTTTTAGTGATTTCAAAGTCGTTAATAAGTGGTCTTGAACTGTCCAACTCTAATGAAAAGCTATTGACAGATTTGGTTACCGCGTCCATTAACTGGTTAGACATTGTTGATGTTGATATAAGACAAATTGTTGTTGGAAACTTGCTAACTGGTATCCACAGTAAACCAAATATCATCTTGCCCCTTTTGAACAATTTGATCTTGCCTCATTTGTACAAGCAATTGACAGCGGAAAAGGAATTCAAAAAAGTAATTACTATGGGTCCATATAAATACGTTCTTGACCAAGGATTGGAGATAAGAAAGCTATGCTACGAGTTCATTTACTCCATATTGGCTATTGACGAAACTACACTTGCCAAGTACAATATCGATATTTCACTGATTGCTCGTAACATTATTGAAAAGGGGTTGATTGATGACCAATCGGATATTATACTTCTTGCTTGTATGAACTTGCTGAATTTCCTTGATTTGCATGAAGCACAATTTAAAGAGTTGATAAAAAATTCCAACCAAGAGTTTACGTCCAATTTCATCAATGGATTGAATACTCAATTGAACAAAAAATTGTCGGCAAAAGCATCAACTCAAGAAACCGAGAACCACCAGGAACGAGTCAAGTCTATTATCAAGTTGTCAAAGAGGATCAATGGTGTGATTGAAGAATTACACCCAGAACTCAGCGGTACTACTGACTTGATTGACGCTTGGAACCAATATCACAACAGTGTCAAGCAGAATTTTGCTGTATTCTACAATAGTGCAAAAGTGTAGCGTTATGTATTTTGAGTAAATAAATAACTGTTGATGCTTTGTAATGTGCTTCGCTGCGGATTTATTTTGTACAAATTGGATAGCTTGCCCAAATGTTGCTTGATCAACAGTTTGTTGATTGGTGGAGTGTGATCAACTCTTTCCCAATCAAGGTTGAAGTAAAGACAAAGCAAAGTCAAGACTAAGCCAACACTTAAATCTTTACCAGTACTACACAATATCAAGATTGGCGATTGTAAATCAATCTTTGCGATGATCCCCGACATCAATGAGCGAAGCATGTTTGATCCTTTTTTGGTGCTGGGGATGGGGTATTGAAGAACTTGTTTGCTGGAATTGTCATCCTTGTCCAACACTTTGACACTGTCATGTAGCACAATTGTGTTGAATGGAAGACCATCAAAAGGTACATCGTTCGTTATTGAGCCAAAGTAGATACCAGTCTCACCAACTGCTTGCACCGTCAAGACTGATGAAGTATCACTTTTCAGCAGGTTTTGTATAATATCCACCAACTCATCATCGCTTCTCCATGATGGTATATACCCTGTTGACGAGTCAATTACTTGATCGATGACCGACCAGAATTGATCAGCACCAAAACCAACCAAGGACTTGGGTACCCATAGCTCGTGATCATCGGCCGAACCTTGAACGTAATCAAAGGTAACTGTTGTTCCATCATCGCCTTTAGTTGTGATTGTCTTGTGCACGGGGACTTGTTTTGACACTGACACACAGCATACGTTGAATTCATCGTCCAGCAACTCCTCACTAGGACAGCCGGGGTAGAAGAACCTTGGAATCAACGGTTTGTCTAGCTTATGAGTGTCTTTATTGATCAAGCCCAAGTCCTCGACATTCTCAACAAATTCTGGTATCAACTTCTCAATCGAATTGTGTTCACTTCGTGGTACAATCAGGGGAGTTCGTAACCAACTTCCCTTTGGCGACTCACCAAACAAAAGAGTATTTACAACAGCACACCATATAGGAATCGTCTTCAATAATGCATCGGGCATGGGCTTTCCTCGTCTTGTTGAATCGACAATCAGGATTCCTCCATTTGCATTGATTATTGGTAAAAGATGCAAATTCAATCGCCGTAGTGAAAATGACCACACGTTGGTGTGCCCGTCAGTGGATTTAAAGTAACAGGATTCATCTCGATGAGCCGGTGGAACGTACCATAGCCCACATCGTTCATTTGCGACCAAAGGTAACTGTAGTTCTTGTTTAACGAGATTGGCAAATTTCGCGTCGTGAATGATCGACTGTAGTCTATTGGTAAATGAAAGCAGCGATTTCTTAAGTTCTTTAGTTATAGTGTTGATATCATTTTGTTGATTAAAGAGTGGATTCATTGACCAAGAGATTGTCTTTGATCAATTTGGTATAAGTTTTATTGTCAATCAATATCTACTCCTTATACAAAAAAAAAAAAAAACAAATCTCATCGCCCCATCTTTCTTCGTTGTTTTTCCAATGCCCGCCGTTTTTCTTCCTCCATTTCTCTGCGATCCTCTCTTTCTGCATCCAACCTAGACCTCAACTCTTCTTCCAAAACATCAGCACCGGTTGCTTCCATGTCGTCGTCATCGTCATCGTCGTCGTCGTAGTCGTTGTACTCATAATACTTGCGCTTTCTTCCTTTGTTAAACATTGCCCAAATTTCGTCGCGATTGTATCCGTCTTCCCCAACGCCATCTTCCTGTTCTTCATCAGATACAAGAAAGTCGCTCAAGTCGTCATCTTCGTCGTACCTGTTTCCATGAACTTGACGCTTGTCCAACAGCTTTTGATTGAGTCGTTCTTGTATTTTAGCATTCGGTTGTCTTGCGGGCATGGGCACCTTGGGCAAAGGCTTTCGAACAGGTAAACTAGGTCTCAGTTGCTGTACGGGTTTGGCTTTGACTTTTGTTGTGACTTGCCTGTTACGACGACCGTCAGTTGTAGCTTTTGTCGTCGTGGTGGTGGATGGTTTATTGCTAACAGTTGCAGTCTTCTTTGGAAGCGATTTCCGGGTAGACGGTTCAGGGGACATGCTCTTCTGAGATATCTTGATGGATAACTTATCATGATCGATATTATTTGCTTTTTTCATTAATTCGTTAAAGTTCAATTTCTTTTTAGCTGCTGGTGGTGGTGGTGGGGGAGAAAGAGAAGGAAAAGGAGGAGGTGATGACTGTCTCCAGTTAGGTTTAGTTGCTATTGTCGTAGAATGTCGTGGCACAGAATTACCCGATCTAGGTTGCTTGCTTGACACATTTGCCTTGGAGCCCTTAACCACCCCTTGCTTAGCCTTAGATGCCTCAGCTTGTTCCCTTTCTAGCCGTCGTTTTTCCTTTAATTGGGTCACTACAGGATCAACGTATTTGTCACCGGTGTTACTTCTGTATGCACTTACGGCAGATTTCGTTTTGTTTATTTCATTGTTACTTTGTGGTTTAGATGGAGGTGGTAACTTGCCTCGTTTTTCAATTTGCTGTAGAAGGGAGGATAAGCCCATGCGTTGGTTTGATTATGGAAGTGTGGTTGACGAAGCTGGTAAGAGATTTTTTGGCTCCTTTTTTTTTTGCGCCTAAAAATATACGCACGCCTCGGTTTGGAAGGTAACCTGTGAGTGATAGAGGAAGGAGGATGCTACAAGATATCACCTACAAGAGCTTTTAACTAAGTTTCAAGTAACTTTCATCTATAGACAGTATAACAAAGACTAAAAAAAAAAAAAGCTCTTCTTTTCCTTACTTTGGACCAATCATCAATTCTGGTCTAACCCATTCATCAAATTCCTCACTACTCAAAGCTTTCAACTCCAAAGCTGACTCTTTCAAAGTCAATCCTTTTTTGTGAGCATTCTTGGCAACCTTGGAAGCAGCGTCGTAACCAATCTTTGGATTCAAAGCAGTCACCAACATCAAAGACTCGTGCAAAGTCTTTTCAATCTTGTCTTTGTTGGCAACGATTCCATCAACACAGTGTTCTCTAAAAGAGTTGGCACCGTCTGCAATCAATCTAATTGATGACAACAAGTTGGCAATCATGACTGGTTTGAAGACATTCAATTCGAATTGTCCCGAGGCGCCCGCAAAGGTAATAGCAGCATTGTTACCAAACACTTGACAAGCAACCATAGTCAAGGCTTCGTTTTGTGTTGGATTAACCTTACCAGGCATAATTGATGAACCTGGTTCGTTTTCAGGCAAAGCCAACTCTCCGTATCCACATCTTGGACCAGATCCCAAGTATCTGATATCGTTGGCAATCTTGAACAAAGAGGCAGCAATGGTGTTGAGTGCACCTGATGCTTCAACGATTGCATCATGAGCGGCCAAGGCTTCAAACTTGTTTGGTGCAGTTTGGAATTCGAAACCAGTCAATTTGGAGACAGCTTCAGCAAATTTGGCATCAAATCCAACTTTCGTGTTGAGACCAGTACCAACAGCGGTACCACCTTGTGCCAAATACAACAAGTGAGGTAAAGTGTTTTGAATTCTTTCGATACCATTGGTAATTTGTTGGGTGTAACCGGAAAATTCTTGTCCCAAAGTCAAAGGAGTGGCATCTTGTAAATGGGTTCTACCAATCTTGATGATATCTTTAAACTCATCAGATTTTGCTTGTAAAGAATCACGCAATTTTGTCAATGCAGGAATCAAGGAGTCTTTAATCTCAGTGACAGCGGCAATGTGCATGACAGTTGGGAAAGTATCGTTTGATGATTGAGACATGTTACAGTGGTCATTTGGATGAACCGGCTTCTTTGAACCCAACTCACCGCCCAAGATTTCAATAGCCCTGTTGGAAATGACTTCGTTTGCATTCATGTTGGATTGAGTACCCGAACCAGTTTGGAAAACAACCAAAGGGAAATGGTCATCCAATTTACCTTCAGCAACTTCAGTAGCAGCTTGTTGAATTGCTTTCGAAATCTTTGGATCCAATTGTCCCAAAGCTTCATTTACTTGGGCTGCTGATTTCTTTTGAATACCAAAGGCTCTCACCACAGGAATTGGCATACGGGCTGCTGGACCACCAATTTTGAAGTTCATTTTTGATCTGGCAGTTTGAGCACCATAGTACTTGTCATTTGGTACCTCAATTGGACCAAAAGCATCAGTTTCCGTTCTCGTGTCTTTGAAAGTAACCGCAGAAACGGTGAAAAATCTCAACTGGGAGGCTGATCTTGTGTTGATTGCAGTTTTGGTAAAAGTTCTCAACATAATTGATATAGAAGGGTGAATTGGAGTAGAGGAAATTGGAAGATTTGAGTAAACGGGGGGTTATTCCTGGGGTTATGTCAAGTTTTTTTTTTTTTTTTTTTTACTTTTACTTTTTCTTCTTCTTTTTCCTCTGGCACCCTCTTTCAAGCTTTGTGTAATTTTCACTCTCGGATCATTCAGGGAATAAATTTTATTGGTCAGTCGATTTTACGAAGAAACCCGGAAGGGTGGGGAAGACACTTTCTAGGACAACTATACAGTCTACTTATTTACTTACAGTCTGTAGACCTTGAATCCACTTGTGTTTTTTGAACTCTCGCGTCGTTGGCCAATCCCAGTCCTTTTTCAGCTTGGCTGCTTGATGATGCTTTATATGCCGCAAAGCAAATTCCTCCGGCAATGTGTCCAACAAGCAAAGAATGGTGGCTTTTTTCGGTTTGAAGTTGAGATCAATCCACCACTTTATGATTTTTGAGAGCTCGGAAATGTAGCCAAATTTGGCAAGTAACGAGATGTACAGCTTCCAAAGATCATCACGAGGAAAAATGCCCATTGCTTTGGTGTTAGCTTGCACATTTTTTTGAAACTCACGAATTGCTAGCTGAGAAACAACCAATTTATCGGTAACTCTGACATTTTCTGATTCTTTGGCAGTGTCTAGAAGAAGCTTTAAACACGCGGCACTGGGAAGATGATCTTTGTCCAAAACTTCCTGCTGGTAAATTTCGAAAAACTTGACTGTGTCATGGTTGGAAATGTAGCTGAGAAATGCCACTATGAGTTGCATTGATTTGACAGGAGATGTATTATATATGTGTGTGATACACTGCTCGATTGAATCAAAGTTTCGATTCTGATGTTCTTCATCACACTTTTCCCACGGCAACTCAGGGATGCTCTCCTCTTGTACTTTTCTGCGCTGAAGCAATTGAATGTATTTCACCCGGAATGTGCTCTGCACTATCGTTTGCTTTGAGTTGGACACCGAGCAAAACAACTCTTCGAGAAAGGTAAAGTCCTTTGCAAAGTGTAAAAACTCGAAAACAATATCAACTGTTACTTTCACCTTTGAGCTGTATATCTGTTTGAACAACATCTTTACACGTTTCTCATCCATCAACTTTAGATACTTCAATTTTCGAATAAAGAATAACCATAACGTCGAGGAGTAGTCAAATTGATTACTAGCTGTCTTGAAGGAGTCGACTGCCTCGGAGGCGGATCTTGAGAGATGGATTTTGGTAAGATAGTATACCAACGAGTCTTTCTTCGAGTGTGTCTTTTCCATGAAAATCTTCTCTGCAATGCGAAATATCAGGATACCTTTGCTGTATGAGATTCGGGACATCACAAGGGCTATACCTAGGTAGCCTTTCAAAGTTAGAGATCTCCCATGTTTATTTCTAATCTGTGACATAAGCAACTCTTGGGCATTTGCGATACTTAGGGGATCAATTTTTTGATATCGAAGCGAATAAACAGCAAGGTTCCAAATAATATCATCAATAAATGCATCACCTAAATTTATGTGTGTTCTGGATAAATTCAAAAAATCTAGCGTCGTTTGATAGATGCTCAATAGACTGCGCAGCTCAAACATTACAGCATAGTATGTCAAATTGTCCAACATAGCCTTTATTATGTATGGATCCTTTTTCATTTGCGTCATCAAGTAGTATATGTTATGAGTCCATAGTTCCAGTTGCACGAGAAACTGCTCCTTGAATTTTGGGCTTCGTAGTAGAATATCAAACAAGACAAATGCCGGAGTGTTCTCCGTCACCAAGGACAAACTTGAGGTTACTGATTTCGAGCTGCAGGACTTTATCCACGAAATCAAGTCGTCTTCTGTGTAAGGCTCTTTAATATGCTGCGTGACCAAGCAAAAGCATTGAAGTCCCGATTGAAGTGCATCATTATGTGGAATTGCAAACTTACATTGTATACTCTGGCAATCAAAGCTACGGTCTTTTATGTGTCCCAACTGAGCTATGATCAGACTAAAGTATTCAAGGTGTATCTGCGGGACTTCTTTCTTTTGCTTCAAACATTCAATAACACACAACATATGAAACACAATCGCCTCCAATAATTGATGTATTCTGTGCGGCGATAGTTTGAATGCCGGGTTTTCACTTACCAGAAAGGGCTTGAGTGATTGCATCGCTTTCGAGTAGAGTGGAGCGTGCTCAATCTTGGGGACTAGCCTCACCTTGCTTTGCCCGTGTTGCGTTAGTTTGTGGTATAGACCGGTCGGTAGTCGCTCCGCTATTCTATGACTCAATATCGAATTATATCGAATGGAAGTTAAGTTGATTTGTTTGAATATAAATGACAGATACACTCGTCGTTTGAAGCATGTTGTCATATTTTTTTTATCATAGCTATTTGTGCTGAATCACGTTGGCATCTCAAGCAGAATAATTTTTCTTTTCGAGATTTGCAAAAGAATCAAACTCTTTCACCGCGTGTATTTGCCACATGTAATGCGGAGGTGGTGTCAACAAAGTAATTTTAGTACTTGCTTTCTCATTTCAACTTGACAGAGTGCCCTGCTTTCCTTAGAGAAGAGAAGTATTCATCTCTCAGGATTATGAGTGATTTACCTACCCAACACCACAAGCAATTATTAAAAGAGTCCGATCTAGATGATAACAGCAATCGTCGAATAAAACGAAGGAAGAAAGCACCGCTAGAGGATGTCAGTAGAGTGCATGGCGTCCAAGAGCCCCCCGGGGACTCCGAAGATTCAAGCGACTTTGAGGATGTCAGCTTGGACGCAGAAGGTTGGGAGTCTGACGATTCTGATGACTTTGAGGAAGTATCTTTTAGCAGCCCTGGTCCTGTCAATAACATCGGGAGGGAAACTCCACATAATCCAGACCAGTTGATGACATTCAAACTAGACACGTCTGTAAAGGAGCCAGAGACAAAGAGAAAAGTCAAGTTCATCAGTAACGAAGAGCGGGTACGACGCGTATTGATGCACAAAATGTACATTGTGTTGCTACTTACCCATGTTGCTATTCGTAATTCATGGTGTAACAACAAATCCGTATCGAAGTCACTAAAACAAGCTTGTGTAACTGGTCAAATTTCGCAGTTGCTAAATGATGACAAGGGAAGTGATAGTGTGAAGTCAAGAAGATTTCTAGATGGCATCAAAAAATTGATGGGAATATATGCTGGGAAATTTCGTATAACATCTCAAGGTTTGGTGAGGAAAAACTGGGAAGAGTTGGGGGTGGTACAAGACTCCGAAATTGTGACCAAGAAGAAATTTGCAACGTTGGTTACAAACTTTCGAGGGAACCGAGATATAGCTGCACAGGGCTTTGTGTGCCTTTTGAGAGGGTTGGGGTTGAATGCTAGATTGGTTGTATCCTTGCAACCACCAGATCACACAATAATTACAGAAAATTTCACTTCAAAGTCAAAGCGCAAAACGGACCAAAACACAAAAGATCGAGCAGACCTATTCAAATCGAAGTCCTCAACAACAGCAAGCAAATTTGAAGACTCAGCTTATCCAATTTTTTGGGTTGAAGTTTGGGATAAATTTGCCAAACATTGGGTAAGTGTGGATCCAATTGTGAAAAAAAAGATTGAGATTTGTTCAAAGAGAAGGCCTAGCTCATTTGAACCTCCTCCTGGGGATGAAAGAAATCAGCTAACTTATGCAGTGGCGTTCGATAAATTAGGAAGAGTAAGAGATGTTACTCGGCGTTACTCGATCAACTATAATGCTCGTGTGATTAGGAAAAGAATAGAATTCAAGTCGGATAATGAAAAAGATTGGTATGATCTGGTATTGAAATCGTGCCAAAAAACTCAATCAAAAAGTATAGTAGACATTTTTGAAGCAAAGGAGTTCCATGAGCGTGATTTGGCAGAAGGAATGCCCAATAACATGCAAGCTTTTAAAAATCATCCCTTGTATGCTTTAGAATCTCAACTAAAACAAAATGAGGTCATTCACCCCAAGGACGATTCCAGTGTTTGTGGAACTTTTAGACCAAAAAGTGCATCAGCAAAGCTACTACCCGTTTACAGAAGATCATGCGTACAAAAGCTCAGGTCTGCAAGAGCATGGTATATGAGAGGCAGGGTTTTGAAAATTGGAGCAACTGCTTTGAAATCGAAGGAAAAACCAGGACCGGAGGATGAAGATGTGCGATTGTATGCCGAGTACCAAACAAAGCTATACATTCCACCCAAGATTGAAGACGGGATAATTCCAAAGAACCCGTACGGGAATATAGATATTTACACAGACACAATGATTCCAGAAAATGCCACACTTGTTAAAACAACAGAACAGTACACCATAAAAAGGTTACAAAAAGCTGCCACTTTACTAGGAGTAGATTATGCTACAGCAATAACATCATTTGATTTTACACAAAGAAGCAAAGGAACGCCAAATGCGAAGGAGGGAGGCATTGTCATTCACAGGGACAATAAAGAGGCACTTGAGCTCACGTTGCATCATATGATTCAAGAGGACGAGGAAGCAAAAAGGGTCATGGTGGAAATGAATGCATTGCTGAATTGGAAGTATTTCTTGTTGAAGTTGCGATTGAAGCAGCGATTGAATAGGACCCATGGAACTATCGGAGAGGAAGGAGATGCAGCATTGTTGGAGAATGAACACATTGCAGAAGGCCCTCTTGTTCATGAAAATAACCACGTGGATGATGATAACAACGCGTCTGAAGACGACTTTGGTGGTGGGTTTATTGTGTCGGATGACGAAGGAACAGAATTGGTCCACGAGGAAGATGAAGTTCAGCTGGGGAATGTACTTGGAGAATCTGAGATTGGAAGAAGAGAGCGACGATCCAGACGTAAGCACGGGTACAAAGAGCTTAGTGACAAAGATATCGATGGTGACGCCGAGATAGAGTCAACCAAACAGAGACAAAAACGAGTTGACTACACCGATTCGAGCTCTGCCTCAGCTTCAGAGTTTGAATCAGATGACGATGATGAGGAAAGTTTGGAATTTGAGTACGAAAGTGACTAATTATGCACGATGAGCAAACTCCTTCCTCGTTTGGGAAGAATATGCGACGCACTCTGGAAAACAATTGTGTTGGAATGTTTTAATCTGTTTAAATGCGTTTCTCATGGGAAGTGTCGAAGCCGTTTAACCCCAAAAGGAGCTCTTTTCTTCTGCGACGCTCGTACAGGGTGCCCAGTATTATGACTATTTTTGACAGGTTTTGTTATAAATTGAAGTTCACTTTGTAACTTTACGCGTATAGACTTACCACATTAGACAGTAACACGTGATAAATTCGCTTTTCCCATTACTTTTTTTTCTTGAACGCGCTTTGCGCTTTTGTGCTTGATTAATAATAGCTGGTGTGGGGCTGTAGAGCAAAGCAAACGACGAGAAAAAAACAAAAAAAAAACAAAGAAAAGTGATGAAAAGCGCAAGGCGCATTTGCATTTAGTTCTAGCGGCAAAGAAGAAAAGAAGAAGAAGAAGAAGAAAAAAAAAAGAGAACAGAATCAGAGAACAAAAAGAAATATTTAAGCGCAAGGGGTTTCAAATTGTTTCAACAGGAGAAGAGGAAGCAACTCATCGCCTACAAATACAACTCCATCTGCACTTTTATTGCTCATAGAAATTTTCTATCCTGCTCATCAGACCAATACCCATCACCAACCAAGACACCAAAACTTAGCTACAAGGACTAGACTGTCTTATATGAGCCGTAGTTGACATAAACACAATTTTTTTTTTTCAAAAGATGCATAACGCCGTTGCCGAGAACGTATTGGGAACAATAGGTACCATTCTTTGGTGCGTACAACTAGTTCCTCAAATCATTAGAAACTTTAGAGCCAAGAATTGCCAAGGATTGCCTGCGTTGATGATGTTTTTATGGGCTGCAAGCGGTGTACCATTTAGTATTTACTTTGTTGCTATCGATGGGTCCATTCCTCTTCGGATCCAACCACAATTGTTCACATTCTTTTGCTTTGTTTCATGGATCCAAGTCTTGTATTACCCTCCTGTTCAAATGCCAAGAAAGAAGCTCGTATTGCTTGCCGCTGCCTTTCTTCTTGTGAGTGTGGGTTTGGAAGTTGGGTTTATTTTGTGGTTGAGACCATTACACAGAAGAGGAATCACTTGGCCCACATTGATTATCGGAATAATTGCAACCGTCTTAATAGCTATCGGATTGATTCCTCCATACTTTGAATTGGCAAAGAGGAAGGGAAGGGTTATTGGAATCAATTTTGTTTTCCTCACCATGGATTCCTTGGGTGCAATTTTTTCTATGCTCAGTATTATTGTTGGCAAATTCGACGTTTTGAGTTGTGTATTATATGCCGTTGTTATCGCTCTTGAGCTTGGAATATTTTCGAGCCATGTTATTTGGTGGTTGAGATTTGGTAAAGATGCACCATCGGAATCGGAGCTCGTAAGGATGGAAAGAGAAGAGAAAGAGGGTCCTGCCCTGGACGAAGTCAAAGAAGGCACTCAGATAGACACAGAGTCATCTGACTCTGAGAGGATGGTATGACATGTACATAGTTTACCTTTTGTTTTTATAGATTTATAGACAGAATTTAGTTTTCACTTAGTTTTCACTTAATTGATTGCACGTGATCAACTATTTGTGTTTCTTTCTCTCTTCTTTCTCTCTCTCTTTGTCGCGAAGTATTTACCACCCCGATTCAAGACAAACAAAATAATTACAAGAGCCCTCTTACTTTATCAGATCACAGCTAACTCAAATGGTCCGTACATCCTTGGTTCCCACTATTGAGAACTTCACATACTAACAGAAATCTAGTCTACCTTCAAGCCATTGAATATCCTTGAAGATGCGACATCGAAGAAGGATCTAGAAGAAGAGCACACAAGAGAACTACAATTTGAACAAGCTTTCAAACTTTTTCAACAGGCTTTAAAACTACAGAAGCAGCGTGACTATAACCAGGCTTATGAACTTTACGATCAAATTTTTCAAATAGACATAATATCCAACCACTATTATGAAGAAGTGGATTACGTTAGAGGGGTTCAAAATGGTCTCGTCAGTGATGTTTCAGACGTGTTATCCACTTTATCTCCAAATTTAAAGTCGTTGAGGTACTTGATCTTCAGGAACAGGGGATTCTTATTTATGGACATCTTGAAGCAAGAGTCTCTTATTGACCAATTGAACGGTGACAATGAAAACCGGGAAGAGAAGTTTAAAAAGATGTTCTATTCAATGTTGGACGATTTCTGTATCGCATTGTATTACAATGAAGCGGATGAAAAGTTGTTGGATGTTTTGCATGGGTTGTGGATATACTTGAATGAGTTGAAATTAGCCAAGTCGACCATGGAATATGCAGTGAGCAGCAAAAGCGAGAGCGACGATATTTCTGGCCTATTGCCAATAGAGAAAAGCGATGAGGCGAGGTTACAGAATATCAATGCTAAACTTGCTGCTGGAATGTCAAGCGATTTGATATCAGAGGCACTTTGCTCCAGATTCAAATTTCTAGAACCAATGAAACGAGACATCGCTGCCCAGCAATTACGACAACTGAAAAAGAACAAATTGAATGTCAGGCTCACATCCAAAAATGACTCGCTTATGTGGGAAGACGTAATGGACGCGCTCAACGATGCTGTGAGGAATCTTCAAGATGAATCAAAAGTTGAAGACGTAAATCGTCCTAAACTTCGATTTACAGAGCCATATATCCTAACTGAGGAGCCTCTTGAAATCGTTTCATTTGAGACACATGTTGAAGAAACAGCAGAAACTGTGAAAGAAGTAGAGCCTTCAGGAGATAATGAGACAAGTGACTCCACCGAGAACAAACCAGTGGGAGCAGATAACACCACAGAAGCAGAGGACAAAAGTGACGAACAACAGCAGACAGAGTCTCAAGAAAACAAGCAACAGAACCATAGAGCATCGAAGCGTTTAGCTCGAGCCGAATCAGTTTCCGACAAGCCGGAAGTAGTGGTAGCAAAAGAACATTTCACGGGCATGGAGTACTTCCTCAGCCAGCTAAATTCGTTTGCTTCATCTTTGAACGTTAATGATGTAATTGGGGTCTACTTAGAGAATGCTCAATCGCCTCGGTATTTGAAAGATTTTGTTACTATCATCAACAACTGGAAACCAAATTTCACCGCTGCTTTCAGTTCGTTCAACTCGGTAAAGTCGAATGGAGCAGACGCTAATGCAAAATTGCTTGAAATGTTAAACAAGTTCAGCGGTAACATTCAGGGCGATCCATCGCTGGAGTATGTGTCTAGTATTCCTAGCTTGGATAGCGAAGTTTTAACGCAGCTTACTGAAAGGCAACCGGATTACCTAACACTAAAAGCCGATGTAATTAAGTTCTTGCTTGGTTCCCATCAAAACCCAATAATTTTAGAATTCAGATGGGGCCAATCAATGGTTTCAAAATTCGTTGAGTGGATAATACAATTCGAGCATTACCTCTTCAGCAGCATTGGCGAACTGCTTGAGGATGCGCGGACAGCTGTGGGAGTGTTGGAAATATTAGTTGATCAATCCATCAGCTTAGAGTCTCAGATCAGGCGCTCAATCAACTCCAAACGATTCAACAAGGCTGTTACAAACGGGTTATGCTCTGAATTGCTCAAATATAACGACAAAATCACCAAATGGCTGCTGATTACGAATGCTGCGATACTGTCACTCGATGGATCCGAGCACGACAAAGTTTTTCTCCGTGCCAGATTAAAATGGTGCAATATCTTGAAACAGAAGTCACAAACTGCCGCGGGGGAAACAAACAAAGTGAACAAAGCATCCCTCGAGGATCTCCTTCATTTCTTGACTGCATTTGGTAGTGCAGTTAGGGTGCTGTACCCAAATTACAAAAATTTTCCCGATTTGAATCTTGATGCTGTCAAATCTCAGCTAACAATTATCTCAGTACTCGCTGTTTTTTGGAGAATTTTGTTTTCAAACAAAACGGGAGGTAACTCGGAAGCGGTTATGTTGTTGGAGGACATATTACTTGACCTGGAAAGAAAAACAAACGAAGTAATTCAAAGCATCAAAAGTTTCATGAGTAACGGTAATGTTGACATGAAGTTGAGTTTGTGGAGCATCTTGCTCCAATTTTACAAACTGCTGAAAACAACATCAAAGCTTATGCTTGGATTTGAGAAAAGTTTAAAAGAGTTCAACAACTATCTAACCAGTGACGAGTATACAAAGCTTCCTGACTCTGTTAGGTTAACTACACTATGCAAAGTCATGGGATTTTACAACAATAACTTAGGCTATGTTGTTCAACTGTTGGAATATCTGGGTTGGCGACTTTGCGAGTCTATGGAGCCAAGTCCACTCGTCTCGTTACTTGAATTGTGCTTGCTTTTTGAAGTACACGAAGAAGCATGTAGCATCACATCATTAAGAACGTCGATAAAAGAAAGCTCTCCGCAATCATATGAGTCACTTAAGGACATGCTTTTGAAAACCGTCGTTGCTATTATGGCAATTATGGAAAGGGACTACCCACAGGCAACCTTACACAATGCGATAAAACTATTGCATGCTCAACTTGGAGCGAGCGGAATTTGCGATGCCGGCGATGGTATATTTTTAAAAGCTTCGCAAGAGTACCTTTGCAAGTTAGAGGACTCAGAAAAGGACATAAGCCAATTGATAAAATGTAAGTACAACTACAATATAGGAATCGAGGGGTTTGTACCTCTTGATCATGGAACTCAAGTGAAGGAAGAGTTGACAGAGGAGGATTGCGAAGAGTTGGTAAAGTTTGTTTTGCCATTGTGCTTTCGCGAGAATACGATCAAAAATGTTCCTAAACATGACATGAAAGTGATCATTGAGGAGATGCATGAAGTCATAGGTGATCCTGATTATGAGTCCGATGATACTTTAAGTCGAAACAAAGCCGTGATTGAAGATTTTTTGGATACGACACTGATCACTCCAAAATTTGTACGTGATACATTCCATGGATTGATGACGTTGGAGCATGGAGACGCTAAATCTAAGCTTGGGTCCAGTGGACTATACTACCTTCAGGGATTGTTGATATTCTCCTCGTATAAGTTACGTAAAAAGAATATGCAAGGACGAGCAGTGGAAATTGAAAATGCCATCACGCTTTTTAAAAATGACTTGATTTGTGGAGGAAACCGCATGGAGAGTTGGTTTTTGATGGGTCAAGCTTACGGATATTTAGTGGAGGATGATTTGATCTGGACATCAGACAAGTTGACTGTTATTGATCGGAAAATTGGAACTGCAAATTTGCAAAGGAAAGCACTTATTTGCTACCTAATGGCAATCAACTGTACTCTCGATAAACTGGCTAGGGACCGCATCAAACCGATTGTAGGTAGTTTGATGTCATTATTCGCCAGGGAACTTTTTGGTGCCGTGTCAGCGCCAATGGACATGCTTGCGTTGCAAGTTCAATCAAAACCACAGTTTGTCCAAAAACCTACAGGAGCAATCTTTTCTAATGTTGCCGAAAAACCTTCCTTGTCGATGCAATTTTGTTTGAGGTTGATCAAGCAGTCACTTCATTTGGCAATAAGGACTGCGGATGCCGAGTGGACTGACTTTTACTACTTATCTAAATCTCAACGCAAATTGGGGGATTCAGCAATTCATGTATTGGATACAATGGCTCATTCCTGTGCAATGGTGTCGAAAACGAGACAGTCTGAGTGTATCCTTGAACCGTACTATTCGTTGGTAGTGCTATGCATGAAGTATGTCAAGTCTGACAATATCAGCCCAGTGCAAGGACTTGAGTATTTGAGAAAAGTGCCTTTGTTGCAGCATGATGTTTCAGAGGTTCAAACAAAAAAACAGTTTTACGATGTAATATTGTCTTCATTGAAACAAATTGACGCTGCTGATAAAAAGAACTGGCAGCACAGAGCCAAATACAGACTTGCGAGAATTCTTTATGATGAATATGACGATGTCGAAGAGGCAAGTAAGATAATGTCCAGCTTCATTTCATTAAAGTCTCCTAATAAACAGTTGGTGCTGATTTGGAAGCCGGAAGCAGAGCGACCAGGGAAACATTTCTTGTACACCTACCAATACATTCGATTCTATATCGATTTGTTACGGCAAAAGAAAGACCTAAACAGTTTGATAATTATGATACCCAAGCTTCGTCGTTCAAGCTCCATCATGGTCAATTTATACAGTGCCTGGGAGTTTCTTTGCTCCACAATTTGCAAAATGATGAGGGGTGCTCTTGGTGTGGGTGAGTCTTTCCTGTACACTGATCATTTTATTAACAACTTGTCTTATCTGGTATTTTCAGCAAATGTGAAATCCATGTTTGAGTCCTTGGAGCACAAGGGAATTCCTTCTGATTTGGTGCCAGATTTGTGCTTTTTGCATGGTGCTAATGACATGAGGAAGTCGAATAATGGATATGGGCCCACATCGATGATTGATGACACGTTGGTGACGATTTTTTTCAAAATGTACACTTACTTTAACCCTAATACCGATTTTTTTTCTACATTTACTTCCCCTGGGGTGAAAAAGAAGATTGCTAAAAAGGACATTTTCCCGTTGACAGTTGATTTGTTGAAGTTGTGCAAAAAGGAGATTGACACGAAGTTAGGGGAAGCAAACGGAGGCTACAATTATGCCTTGAATGAGTTACTGACTCAAAAACAAGAGAAATTGAAGAAAGAAGCTATAGTATTGGACAGCTCTGAAGAACCGGAAGCCAAATTGGAACAACACGGACAAAACTCGGCAGCCCCAATTCTGGAGAGTCACCAACCAGTTACTCCAAGCAAATTAGGAGAACACGCGGCAAACACAACTGCTAATGTTTCGCAAACGACTCAAGCCAATCAATCTGATGTACTGTCATTTGACGACAGTATGCAGCGTTATTTGGTGGAGACGGGCACCCTCCATCAAAACGGCATTAAGGTTCACCCACATGACAACGATCCTCAAGCAAATGCAAAAGGGAGTGAGGATGTCAAGCCGGAAGTGAATGAAGGCAGCAAGAGAGCACGCATATCGGGATTTAACCCGTTGAATCGGGACGTGATAAACATAGATTCTGACGAAGACCCACGGACAGAGGAAAGACCAGCAAAGAGAAGCAAATAATCTAGAGTGATAATGTGTATACTGTTTATTCCACCCCAACTTCCGTCGTTAGCAAATTACGGAGCGACAAATCATATACAATCTTGTTCAACCTCTGAGAATTGTATTTCAAACTGTCGTACCTCTTTCTTAAAACGTCATTCTTCAAATCCAATAACAGAAACCCATTTTGTATTTTGGAAACAATCTTCAGATTTATGAGACCAATGGAATAATTTGGTGATTGAGGCGAGCTTGAGCCAATTGATTGATTGATGACAGTAGTTGTTGTATAGTCAACAATGATATCAATCAATTTTAGAAGGGCGATTAGGTATAGTTGATAATTGACATCATTGACGCCCAATGATTTAAATACTTCCTGTGGTGTGCAAATTATGCCCAATTCATTTCCTTCGGTTACTAACTTTACCAGTATTGACTCGTGAGTGAAGGCGGCACCAATGATCCAAAAGTACCGATTGGCCAAAAGTATGTAGATGGAATCTTCGATAATTTTGTTTGACAATCTTTCCTTCTGACTTGGTTTACACTCGAGCTCAGACAAGGAGTACTTAAATCTTTCAACGTTTTCACGAATTGCTTCCTCGAAACTGTTTGTTGTTTGGAAAATACCGTTTAGCTGCTTGGGGCTAACTGATGTCCATGAATTGATCTTGGTTTGAAATGGAATGAGGGACAAGTCAAATTGATTTTCCAAGTCCTGCAACAAAGTTTTCTTGTTGACGCTGTTTCAGGGTTAGTAAGCGAATGGATAATTTTTTACTGCCAGTTGTGAATAACACATACTCTTTTGCTACCTCGTCCCTTATGTCTTTGAAAAACGTGTCTAATTCGGACATTGCGTATTTTCAGTGATGTTTGAACAGGTGTTCTGAAAGAGATGGTTTTCTTTTTTCTTTTTGTCCGCATACAAAAAACACACAAGCACGCGATGTACTTCTCAATAGTCTATTGTGGGGTCTCGGAAAAGTGACCAGGAATTGTGGAATCATAGTGTGAAGCTAGGCATCATGTCGAAGGAGCATTGAAAGACAAGCGGGCTGACGTTTGCCGATAAGGATCGATGCATACTGATAACTCCACTTTTTTTCCAATACATCGAAGCAAAATGAACAAAACAGCACAAAACAACAAAAAAAAAAAATAATAACATCAGGAACATTGTTACCCTTGACACCACCTCCAAACAAACAACTCATGTCAGGAATATCCAAAGTGCTTTGCCTTCCCGGATACTTACAAAGTGGAAGTACCCTTGCTCGAAAGTCATCAGGGTTGCGAAAGATTCTTTCGAAAAAACTTGGCATTCAAGTTGATTATATAACGCCATGCCATAAAATCAAATCCAGGCACGAATTGAGCTTTCCGTTGGGTTCTACGGAAGAAGAGAGTGACAAAGTGTGGAGTCAAATTGTTGAGAATGGAAGCAATGCTAGATGGTTCGATGCTCAAAGTGCAAATAATTACATTGGTTTAGAAGAGTCAATAAGGTTTGTCGTTGATCATATTGAAAAAAACGGACCATACGATGGAATTATTGGGTTTTCTCAAGGTGCTGCAATGGCAGTGATGATTACAAATTGTTTGCAAACGTATTTGCCCGCACACCCTCCTTTCAAAATTAGTATGCCCGTGTCTGGTTTCTGTTTAACTGTACCTAGAAGTGGCGATCTCAGTGACGAGAATAAACAGCGGATTTTGCAGATTGCCGATGTTAATGAGTACGCGGCCGAAGTTGAACTATCAGACAAAGTAGCCAAGTATTTGTGTAACTCCAACGGTGACAGCACGGGGAAATCTTTACCTACCGAAATTGTTCTTTTATATGGATTGAATGATAGCATCGTGCCACCGATAAGATCACAATATGTGAAGACCTTATATAATGAGAAACAGGTGCATGTTTTTGAACACAACGGTGGCCACTTTTTTCCCAACGACAAGCAAATAGTCCAACCTATTGCAGAGCTATTTGATGTAAAGATAAATGGAAAGTTGTAGAATAAAAGGGAAGTTAACAGCGTTTATAAGAAGAGTACATATGCACTTGAGACCGATTACAATATCCTGAACGCTTTCTCTCTAGAAGAGGAAAAAAAAAAAAAAGATGTAGGGAAGAAAAAAAATTGTGAGCCTGCAACTATAACTTGTCACTCATCTGCATCAATAAAGTCAAATGTCAGGAGCCGCATCTGCGTCTGAAAGAGTCGCCTCAACTGATGATACCGAGACAAAGAGGCGTCGGGTGGATAACGCAACACAACTCGGGGGATTATCGAGAAGAGAACAAGCGCCCACGGCCAAACCCACATCGACATATGGGGATATGAAGCAGAAACCGGCATGGTTCAAGGGCGATGAGGACAAGAATATGAAATACGAAAAGTATGGTGAACGGTCGAATATAGCATCTACATCGTATGCTAGTGAAAGGGCAGAGACTTCTGGCGTGTCAACATATCAACGACGAGGGGAGGAGCAAGATTCACGATTGAACAGATTAAAACGTGCTAGAGAAACGATCGAAAGAGATTCTTCTCCGCGCAGAGAACAACAACATCAGGGAGGCGGCGGCGACGTCGTCGACGATGATGACGAGGGCGAAGATGAATCAATTCAGCCCTATTTGCATCTTGATGTGGCTAATCCCTCAACGACTCGTACACGAACTGACAACTATCACACTTTCCATAGTAGAATTAAGGACAAAGAAAGTGGGGATATCAATAGTATTGTCAGGCAGCACTACAATCAAAGAACCCAACAGTCCAAAAGGCAAGGACCCAGGACTAGTTCTCCAATCTACAAATTGAGGAATTTCAACAACACAATCAAGTATATTCTACTTGGCAATTGGGCAAAGCATGACCCTGAGTCTTCGCCATTGTTTTCGATACTAGACTTATGTTGTGGTAAAGGGGGAGATTTGAACAAGTGCGAGTTTCTAAAAATCGATCAATATATAGGAATTGACATTTCTGATTTATCAGTCAGGGAAGCCTTTGATAGGTATTCAAGACAGAAAGCAAGGTTTAAACCACGGAATGGTGCACGAGCTGACAACAGATACAACTATGAAGCTTGCTTTGCCACTGGTGATTGTTTCACGCAGTATGTTCCTGACATCTTGGAACCCAACTTTCCTGGAATCATTGAGAAAACATTTCCTGTTGATGTTGTGTCTACTCAGTTTGCTCTACACTATGCGTTTGAGTCCGAAGACAAGGTGCATACTTTGTTAACCAACGTTTCCAAATCGTTGCGAGTGGGTGGGCGTTTTATTGGGACTATACCTTCCTCCGACTTCATCAAGTCAAAGATTGTTGACAAGCAATATTATAGAGATGCCAACACCGGAAAGATAAAGCTCGGTAATGGATTGTACTCTGCCACGTTTGATAAGGAACCACCCGAGGATGGCGTGTTTAGACCCCCCTTTGGTAATAGATATAGTTATTGGTTGAAGGATGCGGTTGATGATGTTCCAGAATACGTTGTGCCCTTTGAGATCCTTCGAGCAATTTGCGAAGAGCACAATTTGGTTTTAAAGTATAAGAAGAATTTTATTGACATTTTTAACCAGGAGATACCACGGTATTTTGGAAAGTTGAATAAGAATTTGATTGATGGATTAAGGCGCAGTGATGGCAAGTACGGAGCGGAGGGAGAAGAGAAAGAAGCCGTTGGGTTTTACATAGGCTTTGTTTTTGAAAAAGTTGGATGAGTTGAGAAGCTGATATGGTACTTCCAGAGAGGCAATTTGAGTTTCATTTTATGGTTGGTCGGTTCGAGTTACCCATTTCATGAAACAGCTAAATGTCAACTGCCTGCTCATCCACCTTGTTGATGATGCCCCTATTTTGTGAAATGGATAGCAAGTCATGATATATTTTTTTTTCTTCAGCCAATCGTCGCATCTTCAATACTAGTGCATATGTTTCAACGCGGAAGATTTTACCCTAAGAAAATAAAGTAACTGTCTTTGAATTGAGGTGCACATTTGCTAGCAATGCCACAGAACTAAAAGTTCAATTGGCCAGTTAGTGTGCACGTTTGGTTTTGTGTACAAATTGTGATACGTATATCATAATGAACAATAAGTCTTTGGAAAAGAAGGATCTCGTAAGAAGATTTTTATTGTTCCACGTTGTGCCACCACTTTCTAATGCTATGCTCCTCTTTGCAAAGTGTACAGTATACCAAATGGAAACAAAGTAAACATAAGCAAAACGACTGTACCTGAAATAATATCAACTTTGGGAACTGCTCCGTAAATCGGACATATACGCATAGACTATAAACCTGGAAAAGTTTTCTGGAATTTAGTTTAGCATTAGATGCCTCCACTTAGCTGCTCTTGAGCCCCCATTATTGATCGGCAAAGATAATTGCGTATAATGTCTATCAAGAAACTAGCTATTATGGGAACTTTAACCAATTCAAAAATGCCATATGGATGAGGAGAACTAAAAAGTAAAAGTGTTTTGTGGCTGCTTAAATTCGAAAAATTTTTCAACACTACAAAAATAACCTTTGCCAAGAATTTCATCCACCACGGGCCAGACCAAGTATGTAACATAATGTGTATTTAATTGTGCAAAATTGCTTGACGTTAGATTTATTTCTTTGTTTTTTTCTTGAACTGCAGCCAGATATCCTAAGGGGAGGGAAAGAGTTGCCAAGCAACCTGTCAAGATGCGATACTCCCCTGGAAGATATCGAACATCCGTTAACTTAGTTGCGACCTTGACAACTTTGTTTGCATGGGAAATTCCTTATTGTTTCTGTCCCAGATGCTAAAAACCATAACGTATTTTTGTGTCGTTCAATCTCGTAGATTGTAAATTGCAACACAATACAAAAATACTAGGAATGATCTTTTAGATTACTTTACTGATATTAATTAGTTATACCGTTCTCTGATTGGATGTATTGGTGGCCTGTGTTGTCATAAAAAGTTATCTGATTGGATCAGTTACACCTTTGTGTTATTTTGATACCATAAATGATGTGCATTAAATTGTTATCCCCCATTATTGAGTGCTATAACACTTCATGGAGGCGGCAAGGAGCAATCATTACAAAGAAAATAGCTTGGGCCGCATGGAGCCAAAGCTTAACTGGTAACAAACATTAGTTAATGCGATAGTCAGCACTAGTGAAGCTGCAGTCTTGTTGATTGTCCATCGTCAAATGGAAAGATATAAATTAAGGACTAATTTTCCCAGGTAGAGCTAGTGTGCCATGAGCACTCCTTGCTGCATCCTTCGCCACACTCATCCTAACTCATCATGCACACCCTTGCCTATCTTGCATGCTTTTTGCTTGGTTTTGTTTCGTTAGCCACCGCCAGCTTAGATCCTTATGAAAAATTAGGCAAAAAAAGAATCTTTTATGCATGCACCAATCAAATTCAATCCGAAGTTTCCTTCTGTCCACCAAAGGAAATATCTTGTCAATGTGTAAACGAAAACTATATGGCCACCATTGCTGGATGTTTAAGACGTGTTAATGAAGACTTGAACTTCACGATCAATTTTATGCATGAAAATTGTGTCTACTATAATGTTACCGTAGCTGACGATTGGTATGATGGTGCTATAAAGTTGTATGACGAAAAGGCAAAGTCTGCTAGTGAGATACCAAATTTCAATATGTCCATTCCTATTGATGTTCCGTTTATATTAAACACAACAATGACTGGTATGTATCAAGAAGCTTTCAAAAGGTTTTATGAAAATTATGATACTTCTATCGAATATGGTTCTGGTATGCTAGGCTATTGGTTATTGGTGTTGATATTGGGTGCTATTTTCAACTGGGTAAAAATCTTGTTTCCCAATATCACCAAAAAGATGACCCATCCAGTGATCAATTGGTGGAGGCAATATGTCTCTATGCCAGCTACATTTAGAAAAAAAAAGCTGCAAGAACAAAACTTCTTGCGATACTTTGGGTTTTTGATTCCATCCCGGCTTGAATCATTGGTGATATTTTTGTTCTATTGTGTTACTATATGGCTTCATGCAATGAATAGTAAAGCTATTGACAATGATCCAGTATTTGAGTCCAAGTACAAAGCTGAATTGAGGTACGTGTCTGATAGAAGCGGGATCACAGCAACGTTGATGATGCCTTTGGTGTTTTTATATGCTGGACGGAATAACTTTCTCCAATGGTTAGTGCAATGGGATTATAGTACCTTCATGGCATACCATAGACATACCGCAAGGGTCATGTTTGCCTTAGCCGTGATCCACTCGGTTGGGTATACTATTCTTTTATATGACGACTATGCTGAGGAAGCTGCCGAGACTTACTTCTATTGGGGTATTATTGCCACAACAGTGGGAGGTCTTATCATGATTCAAGCATTCTTTTACCTCAGAAGGAAATGGTACGAGATATTCTTGTTCTTTCACATCGTTCTTGCAGCTGTTTGGGTTGCCGGTGTGTGGCTACATGTCACAGATTTGGGTTTCATTTGGTTAGTTTACCCTGCTGTTGCTGTTTGGTGCTTTGACAGAGTGGTGAGAATAGGGCGTTTGATTGCATTTGGCTTCCCACATGCCGAAGTTACCTTGTTGGCTGATGAAACATTAAAGGTTGTTGTTCCCAAGCCAAGCTACTGGCACTCAATACCAGGTGGACATGCGTTTGTTCATTTTATAAGGCCAACCTATTTTTGGCAATCGCACCCATTTACATTCACTGAGTCAACCAACAACGAGGACAGTATTGTGTTGTACTGTAAGGTAAAAGGTGGTATTACACACAGTTTGTATCAATTGTTGGTCAAGGCGCCAGGAAGAACTTGCAAGATTAGAGTCAGTTGTGAGGGTCCATATGGTGAGCCCACGCCTGCAAGATATTCTGATACTGCTGTATTCATTGCTGGTGGTAATGGCATTCCCGGTTTATATTCTGAGGTTGTCGACATTGCAGAGAAAACACCAATTAGTGACAACAAGTTGAAGTTGATTTGGGTTGTAAGGGAATGGAGATCAATATACTGGTTTTATGAAGAGTTACTCCACTTGAAAAATACCAAAATTGAGACAATTGTGTATATTTCCCAACCAAAGTGCTATACATTCATTGACGAATTCAATAATCGTTTTGTTGGATTAGAAGGATTGGAGCTGGAGGAACTGAATGAACTCAAAACGGGATTAAACACGGAGGATGTCAAGATCGAGGAGTTTTCGACCGAGGAAACGCAAAGCTCAACCGATAAAATGGTCAGAATTGACGAGCCTATCCGCGAAAGTGATGGCTCTTATCATAAGATTGTTGATATCATCAAAAGTGAACTTTCTCATGTAAAGTTTATTGAAGGCAGACCAAGCATTGAGGAGCTAATCCCTAGCGAAATTCATGAATCAAACGGGTCCATTTCGTTTGTCACCTGTGGACATCCTGCCATGGTTGACCAAGTTCGTTACTATTGTGCCAAAAATGTCTCAAACAAAGAAAAGAAAAGAGTTGACTTTTATGAACAAATTCAAGTTTGGGCTTAGGTAACACAGTAGTCTTGTCTTTCACTTTGTGGGTGCTTTACTTGAATTAGGTGAGTAGCGTTTTATTTCAAAATACATGTTTCTTCTTTTATTTGAGTTTTTTGATAACGGACCTAAACTGGAGGTCCTTCATGGAAAGCAGGGGTTAATAGCTAGCTTTAAAAACTAAAATTTAGCGAAACGATTAATTGCCAAAGGGTGAGGTCTAAATCTTTGACCTATAATTATAGGTCAACTGGAGTTGTGATGTCCTCAAAACCATCTATATAGCCCTAAAAAACTTCAGGGTGCAAATACATGACTGAGGGGGGCGCTAAATGGGGGGGAGGGGCGCAGGAAAAAATTTTCATTATGGCCGTTTCCAAATTTACTCGTAAATCTTAATGAAGACTATAGTATGACTGCTGTGGGAAGGTTACGAGGAAAGCCAACAACCAAAAACGTGAAATGTCACACCCTTAGATAGTGACTGGTGGGGATCCAGCGAGTGCAAACAAGTGCACTTTCTGAATGATTCATATGCACACTAATTATTTGCGAATTGAAGATTACACCTCGGTCAAGTTGAGGGATTTGTGTTAATTAAGAAAGATTCAACGATAAATACGAAAATTTTTTATTTTGGTGTGTTGCACGATGTACACAAAACTACAATGTAACAATAGAAGAAAAGAAAAATGTAAACAGAATAAACCTTAAAATGTAACTGTATTATTTTATAATTTGTTTTGTGTTTGCTTTTCGCTCTTCTTCCTTTACATAGAATGCACCTACAGTGACATCACATATTTCACAGAACAGCAAAAAGAGAGAATTGAGTTTACAAATTAGTGCGCATTTACGACTTCAACTTTGAGCGAAGTTTTGCAAACTCTGTCGGCAACATACATGTGGGAACCAAAGTTGCAGTAATGGCAACATTGTAACAATCCTCAATCTTGAGGGGGAGCTAACAATGAAACACTGTTGCCTTTTCCGATTCTTTCTCTTTTTCTTTCGGAGATCTTCCATTTCGTTTTATAGTTGATCTAACAGAAAAATAAATAAGCGCGTCATTAACTAAGCTATAGGTGCCCACTTCCTCATTATATGATTTCATTCGCTTTGACCATCATTAAGCCTCTGCAAAAAATGCCCTCGTTAAAGGATAACTAACTCACAGCTCAGCCGTAGTAAAAGAGCTCACCGAAATCAGATTTGTACCGGCTCTATTTGCCTCAGTGTATCAATTCTTGCCGATATTTGCGTCAAGTCAAGAATTATGGTATACGAAATTTCGGTCGTCTGAACTTGTAAATTCGGCCCGAAAAAGAATATTTTAGATTAAGGTTCGGAACCATCTCCCCCCCCCCCCTCCAAATTTTAGTGACAGCGATATGCTTTCTCTAAACTCTGCATAGATCGTTTGTATTTGCCCTATTGGTAGCCAAGACAACATAGTGCTCATATGGGGGCGGGGGACTGGGCGTCGTGTTACTAACTTCTATGCTCTCTGCAATAGATCTTGGTTAGAGTTGATGAAAAATCTCAAGTTCTTCAAATTCTCAGTCACATGGGTTCCTTTTTGTCAAGGGTTTTATTATACTTTCAATCTCTACTACCTTATCAAATGCTCCACAACTTGCCTGGTAACCAGTTTCAAAACTTAATCCTGACTCTAAAAACGTGAACGAATGCATTCAAAGCACAGACTAAAGTTGTCTTGATTATGTTTTGGGAAATTTAGCGCAATCACTATTACTGGCACAATATTAAACATCCGTTGGTTAACACAATTTGTCTTTAGTTCTGTTGTCGGTGAGCTTTCCCTTCACAGACCACATAAGTGAGCCCAAAGTGAGCTTTCTTCTCAAATAACTAGTTCATACTCTCATTTGTTTGATCTTCACGTTAATAAGCAGCAATTGAAAAACAGCAGCCCCATCCCCCCCATTGCAACAAAGTATTTCCGTAAGAGAAAGAATACTACCATTTCTGATGCTGTTTCGTTAATAAATTATTACTAAATGAAAGTGGTTGTGAAAACTCAAAAACTTTATTTATTGCTTTTTCTTTTTATTTTTTTTATTTTTTTTTGAACCAACTATTCTCCCATTGTGCTTTAGTTCTAATACTAAACCATGCATGAGGTTTTTGCGATATCGCCAGAAGAGTTTTAAAGACGCATGGAAACTGATTTAGATTGGACCAGCTCACCACCAAGCTAGCGTGAAAAGAGAGTTACATTTTATGTATCTTTTGCACTCTTGTCTTTATAAACATGCGGTGATGATAACATAAAACGAAAAAGATTTTCCATGAGAAACCCAAATCCTCTGAAAGCAAGTAACGGAAAATTAGGTTGAAGCTTTTTTCAATGTTTCTATACACCCCTCAAGAGACAACCTCTCTGGACTTTTGCCAAAAAAAAAAAAAAATAAGGATTTTTAAAAGTTTGTGATAGAAACAGACGTTTAGTATTTTTCATTCCACAAAATTGTTATTTAAGTCGTGCACAAATTGAAAAGATTTTCGCTGAGCAGAAAACAGAACAATTAGGATATCTGCAAAGTAAAGATGACTTTGTTCATTGTTCATAATCAAGCCGGTATTTCACGACCGTTGGAAGAAAATATGGCTGCATCTGTTCGTGGAAGAGCTTAATTTGCCTTTTGATAGCGGCTTTCGGTCGCTTACTCGACTTTGGAGACTTGTTGCATTTATTATCTTGTTTCATTTTTCGTAAGTTACCCACTCGAGCCACAATTGCAAGTCGGAGTTAAAACAGTTTATTTATTTAGTATGCACAGCCACTTATAATGCCTTTACTAACCATGAATTATGTTGGGTTGAGCCCGCCCTTTCCCACTAAATCCGAATTCGTTGCCTTTGCGCAATCTGATTTGTTGGGGTTAGCTTCATAATCCATTCACATTTGTGTATTGCATTAAGCAACCGCGTTGATGAGGAGAATTTAACGCCTTGTGCATGTATTTTCTATCGACATGTGAAGTTAGTGTTGCCTGAGCTTTGGATCTCTCCACTAAATTACTTTTTGTTGTTATTTTTTTTTTTTCACTCTTGGACTTCTTCTACAAAAGGTTCATGTTAGCGCCAGGTGTGTCAGATCTGCGAGCCCCCTAACTAACGAGGTGTACGCGCGGGAATTTAGAGCCACATATTAAGAACTATTCAAAGGCTCCTTTCTTAATTGAAGTTGCACATGCATGAAGAATAATCTCAATTTTGTATCCGTTTCCCAAACGCCTGAAGACACAAACTACGCCAGCTCAAAATCAAAACATCTGCAAACACAATTAGGATTCCATGAGGAGACTTCTATTCATTGCGTGATTTTGTTTCCAGCACCTATGCATTAAAGACCTTGTTAAACCTGCAGGACAATTCCATAGACGCGTTCTTTAGTACTGAAGTTTCTACTCACAGTGGCAAAACTTGATGTTGTTTAGTGCAATAATATAAAATTTGCTCAAATGCAAGCAAGTTTAGATAGTAATTGGCTAAAAGTTTTCTTTTTTTTTATTTTTTTGTCCCTCATGCACAAAACACCTCATTTACAAAGCCTATTGTTCTCGTTCTTTATATATAACAAGGTCTTAATGAGCTGAAACAAACCAAAGCGAAACATAAGAAGAAAGGATCTAACGGGATTTTATACGCTGCACGTTGTCTAGTCTTTGTTCTTTACACGTAGAGCGCTTCAAACCTCTGAACGAAACAGTTACAATACATCCATAAAAGTGAAGTAATTACATATAAAACAGCACTAGTCTCCAAAACGAAAACTAAAGGAATAAATATCTCGCAAAAAAGAATTTCACGCCGACTCTCTTCGGTTATACTTGCAAATATCCCCTTAAAGGAAAAACATACATAATGAAGTAAAAGTTGAGCCCTTATAGTTGTGACAGGAGAAGATTTTTTAGTGGGAATATAGATAAAAACCGTTTATAGTTGAACTTTTTACAGTTTCTCGCACCGTTTGCACCCCATTTGTACATCTCAAGCAAAAAGCTTCTGCGTATGACTAAAAAACTCTGTAAGTGTATGGTCTTCTATGTAGTCTAATAAACAATACAAAAAATAAAAAATGCATTACTAAGATATTTAGAAGATTCCACTGCATGAAATTTTTTGGTGACACTAAAACAGGAGACGAAACGATACATAATGCTTATTAAGCGCTGGAAATATAGCCAATTTTTGGAGGATGCTTTGCATTGCAGTTTATTGTCTGATTCCTCCCTTCTATTGTTTATATTCTTTTTAAAGTACTGTTCATATGTGATATTGTCTAGTGTGCTCTACTGTTCTATAAGATTTTGTTACCGAAACTAAAAATAAAGTCCTGCGTACACTATGTACACACTCTTGTCTCTTAACTGCGTTGCAGGCTGTCTCACAAAACCATCGTCAAAATTTAAAGAAACAAAATCAACTAAATAATAAGAATAGTAGTACAATTCCTTTTGGGATAATAATAATAATAATAAGTGTAAACAGTGGATTTCCAAAAAAATATAAAGATATAATATCCAGTGACTGTGTCAAGGGCTTCTTTTTTATTATTATTTTTCACCTTATCATCTTACTCCAGGTTGTTACAAAGAGACCCCTTATCTACCCCTGATTTACGCCTTTGAAGAAATCATAGAATATCAACTGTACCCAGGCCTAAGATCCACACTAGGTCCCACTTCGTTTCCAACAATATTTCTGTTTTTTTTTTTTTTTCTTCTTTTTTTCATCCTTTGTGGAATCACAATACGAACTAACAGGACCACTCGCTCCCTTCTTCCCTCCATAAGGCCAATTGTGTTGATTAAAGAGTTCTATTATTACTCTCGTTATTAGCATACACTTTTGAAGCAGATAACGACGAACTAATTGCATTATAGAGCGTTGTGGACTTGAAATTATAACTCAAATACATCAATATTCACAGTATCAAAGTGAAACCACTGGCTTAGCGCTTGATTAAAGACACACGGGAGTATCTTGAACGTGTTATAACAAACAAACAAACAAATAGACATTGAGGACATTTTGCAGAAGTTAATACTTTCGAAAAGACACCAATTTATTGCGTTTATCATAGACTTAATCTGAGTCGAAGGAACCATTTTCAACCAACATACAACTCAAGAAGTCAGGATTGAAGTAGCCCAATTGTGAAAGTTTGGTGTTGTAAACACTTTTCAGTCATCAATTTGCTTTAAACTAACAGCTAACTACCCAGCTGAAACCAGACACTTCTCCCGCATCGACAACATATTAACATGATGCCTCCTCCGCCTGAAAAATCTAGCGAGCAAGGAAATCAGAGAGCCGGAGCCTCAACAAACACTGGATACGACAACAAAACAACCTTACCGCCCTTGGGAACGAGTATAAAAACTGATCAACCAGATCTTTACAACCAAGCACCTCCACTGCAGCCATACGAATACAATGTGCAACCAAACATGTACACATCCTATCAACAGACAAATTATGACCCATATCAGAGACAAAACTTTATGCAACAGCAAAACGCTTACACCGGGGTGACTCCATATGTGCAGTCTACTTCATACACACAACCAACATCATACACTTCTTCCAATGCCCATGCCCCAAACGCTATACGATTCCTGTACTCTGGCGGCGTCTCTGCAGTGCCAACGTCCTCATCAAAAACAGAAAATCAGCAGCAACAAGGACTGCAAGAGAAGAAAAATAGGCGATTCAGAAGACGGTATAATCAAATTGTTCGAAAATACCCTTGCTCATTTCCGGGGTGTCTGAAAAGCTACGGGTCATTGAATCATTTGAACACTCATATTGTTTCAAAGAAACATGGACCACGCAAATCAAAACTCGATTTTCAAAACGGAACTCATAAAAAGGAGGACAAGATGGAACCCGGCACTCTACAAACTGACCACACTCCCCTGGCGCATGTACCTCAGCTAGGAGTGTACCAAATTCCTCAACAGTCTCAAATACCCGCACCTCCACAACATTACGTAACACCACAACCCAACGAGTACTCGGGATACTACTACGGATATTCAGCGCCGCCAAATATACGACCAACCGTGTCAAATGACTCAGTTCCAGTCCCTTCCTCTGGTACGGGCTTGTACTATCTGGGTTTGCCAACTACATCCGCACCGGCTCCACAACAAGCAGTACTGCAGATTCAATCGCAGCGTACAGGGGGGTCGACTGCGGCTCCTCAATACTACCTGGTCTCACCACAGCAAAGCTTTTACACTACACAATTTCAACAACAGCAGACGCCGGGAACAGGTCTATACTCTAATCAGCCTCAACTGCTGCCTCAACAGCGCACAAATCAACACTAAGAGGGCTTTACTTGCAATTCAATAAACATACGACCCCTTCTTCAGTGAACCGTCTCTTTAAAAATGTTTCGCTTATAAAATGTGTATAGAATTTGTATTATTTAAATTTGGTTGCATATTTTTGTGAATGGTAGCTCAGGAGACACTTGTTTTTTTTATTTTTACATAGGATTGGCATTCTTTCTGCAAACGAGAATAGCTTTCAGGTACAGAACAGTCTTGTGCTCCTGTCCTTGTATGCCCATGACCGAAACAAGCCCAGAAAATGCAGACCTAGCTCAGCAAGAAGTGACGCTTAAGAAAAGTGACAGCGCAAATGGCGCAAATGGACACGACATTGAAGTGACGAAGGATAACCATGTCAAAAGTAATGGTGAATCAACAGAGAATAAAGAAACCTCCACGAAACCACAAAGAAAAAGATTAACCCTTCAAGAAAGATTGGCACAAGCTGCAAAGGGGAAAAAGAAGCCAGGAGCGAAATCGGGGCTTGAAAGTGAACAGACGCGATCACAAGATCAAACACCTTCGCCTGTAATATCGCCTCAAGCTACAGGCAGCCAAGAAGCTGGCATCAATGAGATCGCACACAAGGCGGAAATTGAAGCGCTAAGACAGGAAATTGCAAGTCTCAAACAATCAAAACCGGATCCATTCAACAAAGAACGTAGTGGATTGTTGGAGAAAATCAAGACTAAGGATGAGACGATTGCTCAATTGCTAAAAGAAGGTGAGGCATTGTCGCTCAAAGAGCTCAAATTGAATGAAAGTATAAAAAAGCTCAAGATAGCTAATCAAACTTTGGAAGAGGATATGGCGGAATTTGCTAAAAAGCACGATACGGCGCTAGTGTCTTCCCAGGAGCTTCAGGATTTTTTGAAATCGAAGAAGCTTAAAAGCGTGGATCAGCTCATCAGTAAGTTTTCAGAACTAGATCAAGAACTAAATGAAAAAAGAGGTGAAGTTGAGAACTTGAAGCAATGGGAGTCGAAGTACATTGAGTTGTCGAAACAACATCAAGAGCTCACATCAACAAGAAAAGATTTGACTAAGGAGGTAAACTCCGTCAAGGTGGAGCATGAAATGGCCAAGAAACAATTTGAGCTAGATCTTGAATCGAAACAGGAGATAATTGCATCACAAAAGGATGAGCTATCCAAGGCTAAACAAAACTACTCCCACGAGATTGCCCGATTAGAAGAAAAAATTGAGTCACTACGATTAAACTATGAAGCTCCCGCGGTGCCACATACCGATGATAAGATTGATTTTGACGATTACAAAAAATTATCAGATGCTCATCATGTGTTGCAAAGACTGTATTTGTCATCTCAAGAAAACTGGAAATTACTTGAATCCAATCTTTCGCTAAAAGTGGACACATTGACGTCCACATTGGATGCTGCCAAAAGGGCAAAACACAAGTTGGGCAATGATTTGATCAAAGCCAATGCAGCTTTGCAATCGCAATCGAATGAGATCAAGAGTTTGCAAGCTGAAAAGAAAACATTGCAGGAGCAAATCAATGAATTACAATTATCTGTGAAATTAAAAGATGACGATATGCATGTCATAAATGAGAAACTAGAGAGATTGCAAGCCGTATACACACAGGAGAGAACTAATCTCAACATCAAGATTACTAGCCTAAATGAAACTATTGAGTCCCTCAAAGAGCAACAAAGAGAACAGGAGTCGGGTACCAAATTGAACCGAGACAATTCCATTGGGTCGGACTTAAGCTGGAACGAAATTCGACTTGGTGAGTCATCCAATACCCCTGGACTAAATAAAGGGTTTGGCATGTTTCTGAATCGGTCTCTGGCATCATTTACTGAAATTGGCGAGGGGGAATGTGAAGGTGATGCCGACCTTCTGGAACGCGAGTCATATCTAACACCCAGCTTCGCCTATAATGCAAATGGCGTCAATGGAAGTACAAGTGGCTTAGGTGTGCCAACGTCGATAAATACGGGGAACAATTTACAATTGATCCACAAAATGAGTTCGAATATTAGGCGATTGGAAATTGAATTAAACACATTGAAGGATGAGTATGAGAAATTGTTGGATGTCAAAGAAGCAAGGGAGCAAGAGTTGCTCGAATCCATTAAAGCTAATGAACAAGTGCACGAATTGAAATTAAAAGTTGAAGAACTAGAGCGAGAAATTGAGGAGAAAGAGGCGAAAGAACAAACTATGTTGGAGTTGATTGGTGAAAAATCGGAACAGGTGGAAGAGTTGAAAGCGGATGTTGTCGACTTGAAGGATTTGTGTCGAAGTCAAGTACAACAGATGGTGGAGATGAAGGGGTTGTAGGTGGGTCTGGAATATATATTTTTGCAATTTTGCTTTTCTCTCCCTATGCTTTTTTGCGCGATCTCATCTCAACAGTGAAAAAAAAAAAAAAAAAAAAAAAAAAAAAAAAAAAAAAAAAAAAAAAAAAAAAAAANGACACCAACTAGTACCACCCATGACGTACCGCATCCACAATGGTCTAATAGCCCAGCATGTTCCTCGAAGTGGCAAAGATGAATTTCGATTTCACATGGTAGATCAGGCAGGAAAACTGTCATTACATGGCTCCGTGTTTTTAGAAGACTCCGTGATTGATTTTGCTTGGGGCAAAGCCCCCAGCTCGAAGAAGAAAAGAGAGCTTAATGGAACTGCAAAAAACCTCATTGCAGATGATTCGGTGATTGCAATATTAAGCTCAGGAGATGTCGTTTCCATCTCGGCTCAATCGAGGGTAGTAGTGAGGCACGAGGTGAAGACAAAGTTGTCAAAAATTATTTCGATTGAGGATAACACGATATGGGGGTTGTCTAAGGGCAGTTTCTACAAAGTCGAATTAGATGCAAAGAGTACTAAAGTGAAAGTGCCGGAGTTTGTTAGCATTGTCATCAAAAGTGGTGTTACATATATTGGCACTTCTTCGGGGCTTTTTATTGGAAGGATATACAAAAATACCTTTGAAAAGGAGAAGGAAATAAAAACTGGGTTCGAGGTACTGTCTATAGAAGTACAAGATTCCGTTGTTGTAGCATCTTCAACGTCCCAAGCGGTGCTAGTGGATGGAGAAGCTAGTGTCAAAGAGTTGATCACAGGAGAGAACGAAGTTAAAATACAAGTTGCAGGAGAAATTTTCATCATCAGTAGTGAGTCATTAAAAGTTTTTACGCCGACGGGGGATTATGTTAAAAATGTGAGTACTTCTCACCCAATCGATTATGTTTTTACCATGGACGGATCAAACTATGTCAGCTGGCACAGTGGTGCTGACATTCATGTACAACAAATCACAGACGACACCGATTCTATAGCTTTACAAAATGGCACAACTGCAAAACCAAAAAGCTCCACTTTGATCCATGTTGAAGATGCTGTGCAAGAACTAGACTTGAAAAGTGTTGAGGGTCGATTGCATGATATACTAGGCCAAGACGATGTTAATGCGGCAGACGTAACTGAATTATGCTCTGCATTACACAACGACGATGACGTCAAACAAATAGTATCAGATTTACCGCAGGAGCAAGTCGAACGATTATTCAAAGCTCTCAATACAAGTACACCGGTGTGGCTCAAGTGGTTACTATTGATGCATGGAAACCTGATTGCCAAGTCTTCCTTTCCAGTCAAGAACCTTCAACAAGAACTTCGATCCAATATTGGAACAATGTCTCATCTATACGCAATCAAAGGAAAGCTCCAATTACTTCAATTACAATCGCAAGTTAGAGACACGTCGATCGATAATGACGTTACCACTACAATCGAGGATGAGACAATGGTATACGCAAATGGGGAAGTGGATGAATTAAATAGACTCTAAGAAATCAGCAATTAATCCGGCAACAACCTCTGGTGCCTCTCTTTGTAAGAAATGTCCCACTTGAGGAACAACCTTGACTTGGGCTTTTGGATAAAACTTTTTCAACTTTTCTTGTTCCAAAACGGCAATTTTGGACGACATGCATTGATCATTTGCACCGTTCAAGATCAAAGTGGGGACTTTTTCGAAATCGACGGGCCATCTTGACTTAATAAGCGATAATGGCCGAAACAAGTGGCGATAGTATGCCGTTACCGCATCAACGACTCCATCCTTCTTGAATGCATCGCGCACCTCGGTGATCTCTTCTTGGGAAACATTGTAATCTGGTGACCAGTATCTCCAAAGAGAAGTCAAGTAGTCATTTGATTCCGTCAATTTTGCCTTGTATAGCCAAGGAAACTGCATAGTGATGAAATACGACGACAAGTAAAATTGTTGAGGGACATGCCACAACAATTCATACAGTCGAATATTGACCAAATACGGAATTGCCAAAGTAACCATTGAGGTAATCAAATCAGGATACAAATTGGCAGTCTTGAAGGCGACAATTGCACCCCAATCGTGTCCCACCAAGTGCACTGGTTTATCCAATTGAGGGTTGAGTTCATGGATCCAACCTTTAACGTCCCCTGCAAGGTATGGCAACATGTACTCATGTTCAGGTCCAATACTTGACTTTTCGTAACCCCTTAATTTAGGTGCCACTAGCAAAACTTTTTCATTGAAACGGGAAAGTAAAATCGGCCATACTTGGTTAAAAGTGGTGTTGATATCGGGGAAACCATGTAAAAGCATAATGACTCTGTCGAAATCTTGTGCGTCGATTGCCGATAGAGGCAAGTTGCTCAAGGTGGAAAATTCTCTTCCATCGTTGTGGAGTTTGATTTCATGTTTGTTGAGAGCCATTATTGTAGCCCTCAATTGATATTTGAGGAAAGAAAGAGGGTACCAGTTGGTGAGATATTACGGTGACCTCCTCATTTCCAGGGGGGGAGGAGAGAGAGGAATTACAAAAGTCTAAATATGAAATCTTTCTTTGCTTGTGATAATGAGTATTTTAAGGAGAGAGAGAGAGGGGGGGGGTGACAGGAAGCGCGAGCTAGCGGAGATTAAATTTCACATGATAAGCAGTATGTGAAACTATTTAGCACATCTACGAAATGAAAGCATTGCCAGTTTACTGAGTATAATTAAGCAGATGTTACAGATGTTAGACTAAATCAGTCAAATTGTTTATTAAAGTTTGGTTGCGTTTCAACGTTATATATAGTTTTGTTTTGTTTTGGAGGATCCAATCATATCGCTGAAATTTTGCATCTAATTCAACACATAATTTGGCATATTTCAATTACAAGTAAGCATGCAACACAAGTAAGTTTGCTTATTGGACTTGTTTAACTTATCAGTCATGCATTCAGTAACCCATCGGGAGATATGTACATATCCTGCAGAAATGTGGGGGCAAGAGGGGCAATGAGAAAAATTTACGATGCCCTTTTCCTTGGTCCCTGAACCGAATCGGTTCAAATGTGTCTATTCTCACTACGAATTCGCCTAAACTGAATCACAGTGTGAGTAGGTCCAATATATGAACCCCATATTGATCAGGTCCACAAACTACACGCATTTTTTTATATTTTTTTTTTTGTTTTGCAAAGTGTACTCTTTCGGAAACCCGGAATCACAACAATGCCCCAAAACATTCTATTTTAATTTTTTTGTTGTTGTTGTCAATACTTGCTGTCGAATACGCGTGAAACAACAAAACCTTTAGTACCACAAAGCACAGTTTCCATAAACGGTAGCGTACAATAAAAATAAATTGGCCCTGGCGTGCGGGAAGTTCTCTCTACACACAAGTCACAACTGAAAAAGTTCGAAACCCCCCCCCGGGTGTCGACGGAATGGGGGCGAACGATGTCGCTTTTTGTACCACTTGTTAAACACTCTCACTGTATATACCTTGTTTTGCATATGGGGTAAATCCATATCAATATAAAACCAAAATCTTTTAAACAGCCCTTTTTCCTTTTTCTTTTCAATAGAGACAAGCCAGTCTTTTAACTTACAAGCTTTTTCCCCTTATAAATCATGAGTACCAACAACAACAACAACAACAACAACAACAATGCACACGACTCCGTGTCTAAGCAAATGGATGTCGAAACCGACATTGTCACGTTGACGAGATTCATCTTGCAAGAACAACAGAAATTGGCACCCAACGCCACTGGCGAATTGAGTTTATTATTGAACTCGTTGCAATTTGCATTCAAGTTTATTGCTCACAACATTAGAAGAGCAGAATTGGTCAACTTGCTCGGTGTTTCCGGTACCGCAAACACCACTGGTGATGTCCAAAAGAAACTTGATGTGATTGGTGATGAAATCTTTATCAATGCCATGAAAAGCTCAGGTAATGTAAAGGTGCTCGTTTCGGAAGAACAGGAGGACTTGATCATATTCCCGGGAGGCGGTCGTTATGCTGTTTGCACCGACCCTATTGATGGTTCATCCAATATCGATGCTGGTGTTTCAGTCGGTACCATTTTCGGTGTTTATAGAATTGCCGACAACTCAGATGGATCAATCAGCGATGTTCTCAGAAAGGGTACTGAGTTGGTTTGTGCTGGTTACACAATGTATGGTGCTTCGGCCCACTTGATGTTGACTACTGGTAATGGGGTCAATGGATTCACATTGGATACCCAATTGGGTGAGTTTATCCTCACACAACCAAACTTGCGTATTCCTGATAGTAGAGCCATCTACTCGGTCAATGAAGGTAACTCTTACTACTGGCCAGAATACGTCAAGAAGTACTTTGAAGATTTGAAGAAGCCTCAAGAGAATGGAAAGCCATACTCGGCAAGATACATTGGGTCAATGGTGGCTGATATTCATAGAACCTTGTTGTACGGAGGTATTTTCGCTTACCCAGGAGACAGCAAGTCAAAGAATGGTAAGTTGAGAATTCTTTATGAAGGTTTCCCCATGGCTATGTTGTTGGAACAAGCTGGTGGTAAGGCCGTTAATGATAGAGGTGAGAGAATTTTGGAGATTTTGCCAAAGGGTATTCATGACAAGTCGAGTATCTGGTTGGGATCAAAGAATGAAATTGAAAAGTTTGAATCTTATATTCCAAAGTAAAGGGGCAAAGGTATATAGCCAGGAGTATTTACGTTTCCATAAAAAAATTGAATAGAGTGTGAAAACCCCCCCATTGCAACTAGTAGCTAGTGTGTGTAAATCACTAATATGTAGCTTGAAGTCGCAAAAGATGTTGCTGTGAGTCTATGAGACTTGCTTTAAATCCGTCTTGACTTCAGACTAGGTGCAAGTCTCCTGCCTCTGCGACATCGCCTGCACAATGCGTCGCCTCATTTATTAAACGTTTCCCACACTCTATGACAGCCTCTTTTCCTCTTGCCTCTGTTGGAAAATAGATCGATTGATCTCAAACAAAATATCAACGGTGTTGCTCTGAGGCCTATTCCTCAACACATTCCGGGGATTAGAATTGACTTTGGTCTCCCATTGGTTCGAAGACTCAAGACTGCGGTATATCTTGTACTGCTCCCCGTCTTTATCTTCTCGTGCTTTTGCCGAATAGGAGTCGAAATTCGATTGAAGAAATTGTTTCACTTCTTGCGCATTGAAGGAAGATGGACTTGATGATGTTGATGTTGATGTTGATGTTGACGTTGTGGATGTAGTTGTAGTTGTGCCTGGCGCTGCGGTTGATGGTGGAGGCGAACCGGATGTTGACCGAGCTGTTTTCACCTTCTTTTCTGGTTTTGCGTGAGTTGATCCTTGAGTTGCTGCTGCTTTCGGTTGAGGTGGGGCTGCTTGAGCCAACTTTGCTGCCCAGTCAGAAGCCATATTATGGAGTGTTTTTCAATGAGTAGTGGGCAGAGCAGTTACAGTTTTCTGTATTTCAAACTTTTGCTTTTCTCTTGTGTAGTGTATATATATACATATATTTATGCAGTAGCTTTCCCTATCCGGAAGTCTACCTTCCTCTTTCTTTTGCGGACGTTTTTCTGTTGTTCTTTTTTTTTTATATTTTTTTCCTCTCTTTTCTCACTTTTTCCAGTTGACGTGTTTCCTTTTTCTGTTTCGTCAAAAGAGACCAAATTTTCAGAATAGTTCTCCATTTTTTCAAATCAACACAACTACAACAACAACGGCACTTCATCAACATCACAAGAAACAAATAATGAGTGGGTTTCGTGTGTTGGACTTAGTGAAACCATTTGGGCCATTCTTGCCCGAAGTAATTGCCCCCGAACGTAAAGTTCAATTCCAGCAACGTGTAATGTGGACAATTATCTCATTGATGATCTTCCTCGTTATGTCGGAAATCCCACTATACGGTATCGCATCCACCGATGGAAGTGATCCTCTTTTCTGGTTGAGAATGATGTTGGCTTCCAATAGGGGTACGTTGATGGAGTTGGGTATCTCTCCCATTGTGTCATCGGGTATGTTGTTTCAATTGTTGCAAGGTACCAAGTTGATTCATGTGGATATGCAGAATAAGAATGATCGTGAGACTTTTCAAGTTGCGCAAAAATTGTTGGCGATCTTGTTGGCTGTTGGTCAAGCTACCGTTTATGTCTTGACTGGTATTTACGGACCGCCAAAGGCTCTTGGTGTTGGTGTTTGTCTTTTGTTGATTTTGCAATTGGTGTTTGCTAGTGTTATCGTCATTTTGTTGGACGAATTGTTGCAAAAGGGGTATGGATTAGGTTCCGGTGTTTCGTTGTTTACTGCTACAAACACTTGTGAACAAGTATTTTGGAAGGCTTTTGCACCAACGACAAGTTCGTCAGCTAGAGGTACTGAGTTTGATGGAGCTGTTGTCTCCATGTTCCATCTCCTTGGCTCTAGAAAGGATAAGAAGAGAGCATTGATTGAATCATTTTACAGGCCTAATTTGCCAAACATGTTTCAATTGTTGGCCACCATTTTGGTATTCTTTACCGTTGTTTACTTGCAAGGGTTCAGAATCGAATTGCCAATGAAGTCTACCAGACAAAGAGGTCCATATGGATTGTACCCTATTCGTTTGTTTTACACCTCGAACATCCCAATCATGTTGGAAAGTGCCCTTGCATCCAACATTTTCATCATTTCGCAATTGTTGTTTATTAGATGGCCAAACAATTTGTTCATTAAGCTCTTGGGTACTTGGGATGCCAGACCAGGATCTTCACAATTGTACGCCAACGGTGGATTGGCTTACTACATCCAACCACCATTTAGTTTTACCGAAGCATTGTTGGATCCAATCAAAACGACAATTTACATTGCATTTGTTCTTGGGTCCTGTGCATTGTTTTCCACCACTTGGATTGAAATTAGTGGAACTTCACCAAGAGACATTGCCAAGCAATTCAAAGAACAAGGTTTAGTCATTGCTGGACATAGAGATACTTCAGCTTACAGAGAATTGAAAAAGATTATCCCCATTGCTGCTGCATTTGGTGGTGCCACTATTGGTGCATTGTCAGTTGTTTGTGACTTGATGGGAACTTTAGGAAGTGGTACATCTATATTGTTGGCTGTCACTACAATCTATGGATATTACGAGTTGGCTGTGAAGGAAGGTGGGTTTAACAAGTCGTTAGTTAGTGGATTCTCCGATGGTATTTAGAAAGTAAAATGAATGGGGGGGGGGGAGTACTGCATATTTGGTCTTTAGCGCTACGGCGCATCCTTTTGTATAGAGAAAAATAAAAGACGCAGCAAGCAGAAGAAGAAGAAGAAGGAAAAAAAAAAAAAAATGCGTAGTGTGTGTAGTCATCGCTTTCAGAAACTTCATACACATATACTCCAAAATACAAAAGATGGACAGCTCAGAGACTGAATCATATACATCAGACAAGGTCAGCAGTCATAGCCAACACGATGCCACTTTGGATGAGTTGTTCGGCCAGCTACTGGAAGAGCTACATAAAGAAACAAGTCAAAAAACTGCTCACGAAAAGCAAGATGATTTCAAAAGCATAGAAGCATCGATTAGGAAACTTCCCAAACTCGAATCAAATTTCGGCAATGTGCCCTCCACTACATCCTCCTCAAACTCCAAAGCGACAAAAGTAGTCAAAATCCACGACCCAGTAGCCAGTGCAGCCGCATCATTAAAAGCCAAATCTACGCAAACAGAAACCAGTGGATCGAAATGGTTCAACATGTCACGGCCAGAACTCACACCTGCTATTACACGCGACTTGCAAATCATCAAGCAAAGACAAGCGTTGGACCCCAAGCGCCATTATAAGAAGGAAAAATGGGATACCCCGAAATTTTTCCAAATGGGTACTATTATAGAAGGCAATACTGGATATTATAACCAGTTGAGTAGGAAGCAGAGGGGTACGAATTTGGTTGAGGAGTTGTTGCATGATGATACGACGAAAAAGTATTTCAAAAGAAAGTATCATGAGATTCAACAAGCAAAGACTAGTGGAGGAAAGAGTCATTACAAAAAGGTCAAGAATGATCGTAAAAGGCATTGAGGAAATGAAATGGTGACTTAGACAATCGTAGCCTGCATATACATATACATATGTATTTAATGAATACGTTAGAATATATACATATATACTTTCCTCACTCAAGACCTGCTCGTTTGAAAACATCCAGTCGTACCTGTTCCCACAACTGTTTCTTTTCGTCTTTGCTCAACTTCTTCTTCCCTTCCAACTTCAATCCGCGTTTCAATTCATCAACTTGTAACTTGTACTCATTCGCCGTTGTAGCAGCAGCAGCCAAATTGATCAAGTAATTCCTCAATGCAATCTCCTTGAACTTAAACTTGAGGAAATCATGTTCATTATATTGCATATTTGTGTATTGTTGATTCTGCCGTACTTCGTTAATTTGCAAAAGACGCGATTGTTTAACTGATATTTCAGCAACCAGTTTCTTAAACGACAAGTCCAAATTGTGTTCTTCGTACAAGTTGGACTGTATGAGGGTGAATATTAGCTCGGTGTCGGAAATGTGCGGTTGGATAATGATTAAATGGCAAAGTTGGGCCAAATCGCCAATCAACTGTGGTGGGAAATTTTGATTATATGAGATTTGATCCAGTGCTGTTGAAATTGAAGGTAGTTGGGTCAACATCAATTTGCATCTGGTGACATTCAAGTTCCAGTCAATTAAGTTTTCGTGATTGTTTTGATAAGTGAGGCCGGAACCTAGTGATATTTTGTAAAGTTCTTCCGGATCGAAAGAAACACCCATGTGTTGTTGTTGTTGCTGCTGCTGCTGCTGCTGCTGTTTCGCTTGGTATACTCCAGCAAAATGGGATTCGTGAAGCAGTATATCATTGACCAACTGTTCAACAGTGACAGTCAATGGTTCCAGATCTTCAGGTATAGTTCCAGTCGAGCTTGAATAGATGGAAGGGGCCGAACGGACTGATCGCTTGCCAAACGATGAAAAGATGGATGCAGATGATGAAGATGATGTGGTGTGTGCTGATGATCTATACAGTGGTTGATATGATGATTTTTTCTTAAAGAATTGCAGTGGAGCTGATCTGACTGATGATGCTGAGTTTAGTGTCGATATGGGCAGTCGTCCACTGACTGATGGTAATTTGTTGTAGATTTCGTTTCTTGCATTCTCTTTGAATTGAGATGGTGCCGATTGTTTCCCCTGGCTATTGGAGAATGGCGATGCATACATTGTGGGTGAAAGAAGTTGTTGGCTCTATCTCTTGGGTTGAGGTTAAGGTGAAGGCTTGTGTTTAGTGCATAAGAATAAGAAACTGTGGAGAGATATGATTCAGGCTGTAGTAGTAGTAGTAGTAGTAGTAGTAGTAGTGCCTATTAAGTAGTAATAGGGTACTTAATCTTCTGATGTATGGTTGGTTTTGAAAAACAAACTGAAAGATGTGTTGTAGAAGATATATATGTATACATATATATATATATATATTACATACACACGATATGGATTATATTTTGTTGAGAAATTTTGAAGGAGAGGAAAAATTCAAAAAATTCAATTTTCTAAAATTTTTCCTTTTTGTTTCTTCTTTGTTACTTTTGTTACTATTTGTATTGTGGTGTATACTTTGTTTTCCAAACTTTGACAATGACTCCCTATTTCAATTATAATGAAGTACAACAATGATGTCCATGACGTGGTACTCTGCCACTACCTATGGTCCTTGTTTGCAGCCCAAGTATTGACTTAGTTATTAATGTTAAAAAAAAGCGTCACCTCCTTAAAAGAAAAAAACAGAAGAACCAAATTTCAAATTTCTTCGGGTTTCACAAAAGGGTGGGGCTGTTTGTTAAGAAAAGTAACAACGCAGTCATAGTCCAACCAAAGTTCAATGATAATATATGCTCCATGCATAGAGGAAGCTTCCGGTATATAATCCGAAACTGCCACAAGTCTCTCTCTCTCTCTCTCTCTCTCTCTCTCTCTCTTTTACATCAGTTGATAGTATGGTTGCTACGTCCGGCTTATCTCCTAAAACCCTTATTGTTTTTAGCTCTACTCTACTCCAGACTCTCCGTAACTTTCCTATTGTTTGAGATGAACTAAACATTTGGGGTTTTGTGAAATTGTGCACTACCTGCATATACATACACTGCGCAAACTTAGTTAATAAGGGAATAACATTCCGAACAATACAGAAGACAAAAAAAAAAAAAAAGGAAAACAAAGTAAATAAATAAGACACAAGAAGGCAGAAAAAAAGATCGTACAATTCTTCCGACAGGCAATTGAATTAAGGAGAGAGAGAGAGAGAGGGGTAACTTCGGATGTTACAACTTCAATTCAAGTAAAAGTGGTCACTCCTCTCCTACATGGCAACTACACAGAGTGGCACTGTTCTCCATCTAGATACCTCACAATTCAGTGTAACCCTCTTGAAATTAAAATGCCTCAGTAATTATAATTGTTTTTTTTTTTCTCCCCCCACCCTCCACCCCCTATATCTCTTTGGTCATGCAAATATCCCGATTTTTTATTTGTTGTCACCAGACAATTATTTTTTTTGTTTTTCGTTTTCAATTTGAGGGAGTTTTTCCGAAATATTCAGCCGCAAAACACCAGAATAAACTCCAATTGTACGGCATTTGAGTTTGTCCTCTTCTCCTCCACTCTACTCCACTCTCCTCCATCCTCCCCCACTCGGCGTACTCCAACTTTATTGTTGCGTTGAATTATTTTATTTTCTCATCACAATTCCAAAAGATAAAAAGAAAAAAAAAAAAGTAATAAAGACTCTCACTTAAAAAGTGTCGATCTTTCGACTTAACCCAAAAACAGTGTGGACGTGAATTAGTCGGTAAATGTCCATATAAAGACTATAACTTCTACCTTTAGCATTCTCATTAAGTTGTCTTCCCCCCCCCCATTCACTGTTCCATTGCTTACTTTGAGTATCTTGGAGAGCGCTAAGTAGCTCAATTACCGGTGGTAAAATTGTCGGAAAAATTACTGTTTTTGTACTACATCATACATGTAACATACTTATATATATATAAATCTCGGAAGAATTACGCAACAAAGAAAAAGAGAAAAAAAAGGAAGGCAAAACCAGACAGAACAGAAATTTGTAACGTGGTTGCTCTTTTTTTTTCTTTCTTGTCAGAGGGTGACTCCGATTCGTAAACATGCGTCGCTTTTATACACAACAGTGTCTAAGATGCTTTTCATTTGTGTTCCAATGAACTAAAAGCAGTTAGATGCTTGCTGAAAGTGATTTGCTCTTCCTTCTTCAAACGAATGGATCCATATAACCTGAAGAACTTAGCTATTGAAGTTAGTTGTTGCGTAACTCCCACAGTTCTGCCATCTAGTTTAGTGCGTTAGAGTAATTGAGAATAGCTCAATTTAGAAAAGCACTAAAAAACAAAAAAGTCACAGTAAAACATCTAGATATTCAAATCACACGCTGAGCAAAAACTTTGATCAGTGGTCTTTTGGAAGTTACAATCAATCTCTTTTGCGTTAGGGATGATGTGCACTCAAGAATAACTTGATTAACTTACCTCCAGTACCAAAATTCCTCTCCTAGCAAGATGATAATAGAAACAGAAAGTGAAAGCGGCTTCCTCTGGGAAGGCATATGAGAAACTTTTGGGAAAAGGAGCTCGCTTGGATTTGGATATTGCTCTCATTTTGCAACAAGGTAACAGAAAGATCGAAATCATTTGGTAGCGTGTTGATCTACTAACTTTTCTCAACTCTCAGCGCAATCCAAAATTGGATCCTCGCAGACGCTTTATTCATCTAATTGCAATTCGACACAATCACAACAATCATCAGCATAATGGACAATATTGACGAAGTAGTTTCTGATGATTACGGATTCAAGCTAATTGATGACATACCAGTGACAGAGGCGATAGATTTGTCGAACCATAAAGATGGAGAAGAATTACGGCTATTGGCCATCCACGATGAACATAGAATCATCGCCGTGTCCAATTCCAACTCCCTCAAATTTGTTTCAGCCGACAACCTTGATGATGTGGATGAGGTAAATGGAGATTTTGCTATTACTCAATTGTACTTTACTGATTCAAAATTTTACATGTTGAATAACAAAGGTATACAAACATTGACCATTGAACAGATCAAACAAAAGGATTATCAATTTGAATCCGTAGAGGGACAGTATACCAATTTGAAACCATTGGATGACGAGAACTACCTAGCATACGATAAGGGCACCTTGTATCACAATTCAACCCAAGTTGCATCCAATGTGACCAAGTTTGAATGGCAAAAGTCATCACCAGTGTATATCACTAAGTCCGATCAGTTTCAAATAATGGGTAAACCAATCGACTTTGATGATGCAGCGAAAAGTGAGCTATCACACTCCCGTCCTGCAGAGCTCATTTCCTTCAAGGATTACATTTTCATTGTTTACGACTCAAGTGAAGAACAACCATCCGATGATCATCAAATAAGAACTTTTTTACTCAAATTGCAAAATGAAAAGTACACGCCTTTTGATATTGAAATTGCGTCTCCGTATTGCTCAGCATGCAGAACCACCACTTACTACACTGCAACAATCACAAACTGGGTGGAATCAACTCAAATTAATTTTATCACATCATCCTTGTCAACGGAAATCGGTATCCTCAACACTTCGGACTTACAACAACCTGTGGCCATTGTACCAGCAGAGGACTCCAACCAGGCCAACTATCCCATGGATGAAGAAACTCTACGTGATGTGTCTCCCGTTGGATTTGCAATTTCTGTACACGAGTTGAAAACTCAAGTAAAATCGCCGTGCGTTGGAGTTGAAGGTGAAGTTGTTGGAAAATTGCCCAAAATCTATGCCTTGTTGGACAATGGGAATTTGAGATCGTGGTGGGTTTTCAACAAGAGTGGAATTTTGAATGATGAATTGTCTTTGGAGAGAGCTGTTGCGGCAAACGATTCCAATGCTGTGACTTTAGCTGCAAATGGTGATGCTACTGCTGGTGACAAAGAGGCAACAGTGAGTGGAAAAGCTGCAATGCAGGCTAATCCGTTTCAGACTACAAGTAATCCATTTGGGTCCAGTACCGCTGGTGCTTTCAAAAGTCCAGTGGTTGCAACGAAAGTAGACAACACTCTGGAATCCGCAAAATCTGCCTTTGGATCTACTGGTTTTGGTTCTAATCAGAGTAAAGGCTCTGCCTTTGGATCTACTGGTTTTGGCTCTTCATCATCGGCTTCTCCAGGATTTGGATCCGCTGGTTTTGGCTCTTCTAGCTTTAGTACTGCAACAAAAGATACAACCAGTCCAGCAAAGCTGACATTGTCTTCAGGTTTTGGCAAGTTTAGTAATCAACAACCAGCAACCTTTGGCAATACCGCTAGCGGACAAAACATATTTGGAAATGAAACAAAAGCATCATCGCCATTTGGTCAGTCTTCAAATACCTCTTCGCCATTTGGAAAGAGTGAGAATAAACCAACCTCCTTGTTCAATCTGAAAGAGCCAAATTCTTCAAGTGTCTCGAAGCCAGCTTCGTCACCATTTGCCGCATTAGGTGGAAGCAAAAAGACAGAGGGTATTGACAATAACAGGCCAACACCATTTGCTGACCCCTTGGATTCATCGAAAGAACCAACACCAGCACCTTCTGGGAGCGCACCATTTGGGGAATCCAATTCTCTGAAACAGACCGATGACAAACCAACTTCACAAGCTAAACTGTCACCGTTTGGTAAAAAAGAAGGAGATGATTTGTCATTCGCGTTTGGTGGCTTGAACACTAAAGAGAAGTCCAAGGAACCCTTTGGATCGAGCTTTTCTAGTTTCAAAAAAAGTGATACACCTTCTCCGTTTGCGCTGTTGAAGAAACCAGACGCAACTTCTCCGTTTTCGTTCAAAAAACCAGACGAGAATTCTCCGTTTGGACCGTTGAAGAAATCAGACGAGCATTCTCCATTTTCCAATTTGAACCCCACCAAAGCACCTTCAGGTGAAGATAAAGAAAAGCACCACAATGACAATACTGAAGAACTAGTGAACGAAAACGAACCTCTAGCAAATGATACAAGCAGTGCAAACACGCCTGATGAAGATGTTTCCAATAAGAAGGAAACACACTACGGGTCGTTGCAAGAAATCAAGGACGATGAGGATGATTCTTCAAATGGCTTCGAAGCCACTGACAATAACGAACTCTCTCAGGACGATGAAGAAGATGAAGTTGATGATCAACAGTTTGTTGATGAGTCAGAGAAGAATGATTCCTCGTGGGTGAATATTTCTAAAAAGGATGCTGAGGGGCGAGTTCTTGCACAAACTTTAGTAGACTTGCAACACGATGGAGCTTCAAAGGATGTTAAGGATTGGGAATTAATCATAGACGAAAAGAAGCCAGTTGACGAGCCCGCTAACGAGCCCGCTGATGAGCCCGCTGACGAGCCAATAGAGCCTGTTGAATTTCTAGTGTTTGATGGCTTCTCTGGATCATTGGAAAAGAGTGATGATCCTATCGCAAACAAGATGCGAACCGTTATTGCCAACACCGAAGGAAATTTGCAATTTTTAGCAAAGAATCTTTCTGCTGTAACTGGCTACATAGATGCTCATAGTACTCCAGGGAAGCATTGGCATGAAATTACTGAAGTGGGAAACTTGGACTATGATAAAGACAAGTACAAGGGAAAGCTACACTACTTGCATGAAAAAGAGACAGAACTTAATAAATTGAATCTGGCAATGCAACAGAGTCAAAACGAGCTCCGAACACTTGACAAATCATTCAGTCAGTTGGCTTTGTTGGAAAAGGGTTCCAAAAAGAATTTGAAATTCCTCAAAAACAGACCATTGGAACCAACAAAGCAAGAAACGAGAGAGCGGCTAAGGTCGAAGTTGGCAAATGTGCAATCTTTAGAGTCAAGGTTGCGCACTCTGCTTATGCATATTAAGGCAAGAAGCTCACTAAACTTATCCACGGTGGATAAAATTGAGCAGATATTGCTGCAGTTGAATGATCAAGTCTTGGATCGGAAGATCACATTGTCCGAACTTGAAGACGAGATGAAGGCTTTAAATTTAGAAGGAAGCTCAAAGAGACTTGCTGTTGGACCGGGAGCTGCTAAATTAGAATTAAGAAAAAGGTTGCAGGAAAAGAACTCAAAGTATATCACTAAGTAGTTGCATATAGTGTATGGAGTCCCTGCACATGAAACCTTTTCTTTTGTTTACCTTTTTTTTTTTATTTTCTTTTTTCTTTTTTCTTTTTTTTTTTTTTTGAAATGTTTGATACGCTTTTCCTGTAACACGTACCAGATTAACACTCAAGTTTCCACCAAACAATGTCTGACCTCATTGGGTTGCGAGTCTCGGTCCCAAATGCAAGCGGACATGGCTACATAAGGTATATCGGACCCATACGAAACAAATCTGGGTTATTTGCTGGACTTGAACTTCAAGGTCCATTGGCGACATCAAGAGGTAAGAATTCAGGGTCTGTTGAAGGAGTCCAATATTTTACAGTCAGCATCCCCAAGAGCGGTCTCTTTTTACCATATGAACGATTGAGGAGCAGTAATCCTCAACTCCCTGATGTGGCGCTGGTTGAAAATGGGCGCAAATGTCAAGAAGAAACCGTGGAGTTGACAACACCACTCCGACCAACACCTGTATCACGCTTCAGTCCCATGTCGAAACCCCCGTATCACTCGGTGCAGAGAAGCAGCGCCAAAGTATACCGCCAGCTGAATGGTGACGTCACGTCATCAACGCAACAGGGGTACCATTCTGACCACCATCGTCGCGAATCAAGTTGGAGCATTGACCAGCATCGAAGTGAAATGTCAACTACCCCATTACGATCGCCACTCACCCCATCAAACACGTACCACGATGCAAAGTTGGATCTACTAGATGACCAATTGTACAAATCAGAGAATAACGTCCATAATTACGAAGAGCAAATTGAAGAGTTGAAGAAGTTGATCAGGGATAAAGATCGTAGGTTGGAAAATTTCAATAAACAGAGAGAAGAGTGGCATAGTGCTATGGACAACTTACTTGCGGTACAACAAGATGGAATGACGGTGTTTGAAGAGAGGTTGCAAGAGTTGGAGAGTGTTAATAAAGACCAAGCTGTTGAAATAAGTACCTTGACTGAAAAGTTGAAGATATCGAATGAAAGAGTTGAAGAATTGGAGAAAGAATGTTCTGAATTGAGAGCTCATACCTCAGCAGCTGAATCATTTGAGGAATCTAGTGTGAAGATTCGCTCGTTGGAAGAAACTTGTAAAGATTACTCGGACAAGGTTGAACAACTACAGAATGAATTGGAAACAGTGAACAAGGAAATCGCAGCTTTGAAAAACCTTAGTGATGGTGCAGTAAATCATGCTACGGAGGGGAAAAGTCGTGATGCATTAGCAACACTGGATCGATTGATCTCATTATCAACTGTGGCGTCGGACTTTGGCGCTGCAAGGGCGACACAATCAGACGAAATACAGGACTTGCCAATATATAAGCCATCCACTGCGACTGACCCTAGTGCAGGAAGATCCGGTTGGTGTGGGTTATGTGAAAGAGATGGGCACAGCTCAATCAACTGTCCTTTCGAGAATGAAATTTTTTAAAGGAATGTTAATAGAGAATATAGTTGCCAGTCTAATCAAGTAGAGGTGTCCCCCTCTTTCGAGTAAGGAGATCGCTTTGAAAGCATAGCGGTTGAGGTACTTTCTCCCCACCACGAAAACTGCCGCTAGTTATTTATTTCGTCTCTTTTTTTTTTTTATAAATTGTTCAGCAGACTATACTCTGGCTGCATTTGGGTAGAAATCGCGATCGAGAAAAACAACAATCTCTGAGAAATCCAACCCCATATGAGGAGAAAAAAAAAAAAAAAAAAAAAATATGCCAAACTTGATAAGAAGAGGTTGTGATTCAAGCAAGCTAAGAAGCGAATATGGGCAAGCCAACAGTATGTGGCACCGCACTATCTTATAATCAACATAGTACTAACTTCTCGCTGCAGTATATCCTCATCATACGACATGGGGAGTCTGAGAGCAATTGCGATAAATCCGTCAACTCAAACACTCCGAATCATCTTGTCCCCTTGACAACCAAGGGCCACCACCAGTCCCTTGAAGCTGGTAAAGCTTTGGCCAAGTTTGTTCACCATCAAGCCGTGCAGGATTCAAGCAACAGGCGTAGTCGAAAAACAATTATGTTTTACACATCACCATATCGACGTACAAGAGAAACATGTCAAAACATCATAGAAGGTATCAAGGATGAACCAGGAATAGAGTATAGAGTACAAGAGGAAACGAGAATGCGTGAACAGGATTTTGGCAACTTTCAAAAATCAAAAGAGGAGATGGAAAAGATTTGGGAAGAAAGAGCACATTATGGCCACTTCTTTTATCGAATACCACATGGGGAAAGTGCTGCTGACGTGTACGACAGGGTCGCTACCTTTAATGAAACACTTTACCGCCAGTTCAAATCAGACGACTTTCCCAACATCTTGGTATTGGTCAGTCATGGTATCTGGTCAAGAGTGTTTCTCATGAAGTGGTTCAAGTGGACCTATGAAGAGTTTGAGTCGTTGAAAAACATTCCTCATTGCCAATACATCATCATGAAGAAGAATCCAAATACCCAGAAATATCACTTAAAGACAAAACTTCGCACGTGGGAGGACACGGATGACTCGTGGATGGAGCATGAAGTCGTCAAGGAGTTTGGAGATGAGCTTGAGTGTAAAAATGTGGGTAAAGAGTTGGATGATGCTGAAGTTGATGCTCTTGTGCAGGCTCAAAGAGAAGCCATCAATTCTACCAGACCGAAAGACACGAAGATTGAGGAGACGTATAAAAGTGTGCGGGCAAGAGGGCTAATTCGAAACCAAGGCACTAAATTTGATATTGGGAATCAGAGTGTTGCAAACAGTGTGGAAAGTTTGATACAATCGCCTAAATAGAATAATGCAAAAGTAGGCTCAATTATTCTACTGGTGTTTCTTTGGCTCTGTCTGTTTCGCAACTGTCACAAAATCATAAAGTTCCCGTGGTGCGAATTCGTCCGTAATCACATTCTCTCTCGCATTGCTCTCACCCTTTTCTCTTTTTCTTTCTCCCCCGGAAAAGTACGTTGCGAAGTAGTTGTATTTGGTAACGACACTACCCCTCTCTCTATTGCGTCCAATTTCCCGAGGTACATTTATATATAACTATAGGGTGTAATTTTTTTTTCAACAATTTAGCTCTTACTTCTTCTTCTTCTTCTTCTTCTTCTTCAATTTCCCAATCTCAGACTTACGCAATGGCTCGTCAATTCTTTGTTGGAGGTAACTTCAAAGCTAACGGAACCAAATCATCCGTCACATCAATCATTGATAACTTGAACAAGCAAGATTTGCCAAAAGATGTCCAAGTTGTCATTGCCCCACCATCGTTGTACCTTGGGTTAGCAATTGCTGAAAACAAGCAACCAACAGTTGAAGTTGGTGCTCAAAACGTTTTCAACAAGGGTACTGGTGCATTCACTGGTGAAATTTGTGCTGAACAAGTTGTTGATGTTGGTGCCAAATGGACGTTAACTGGTCACTCTGAAAGAAGAACCATTCTTAAAGAGAGCGACGATTTCGTTGCTGAAAAGACTAAATACGCTTTGGACAATGGTTTGAGTGTTATCTTATGTATTGGTGAAACTTTGGATGAAAGGAAAGGAGGCATCACTTTGGATGTCTGTGCTAGACAATTGGATGCTGTTTCCAAGATCATCAAGGACTGGTCCAAGATTGTTGTTGCTTATGAACCTGTATGGGCTATTGGTACTGGTTTGGCTGCTACACCAGACGATGCTGAAGAGACCCACAAGGGTATCAGAGAACACTTGGCCAAGACCATTGGTCAAGATCAAGCTGAAAAAGTGCAAATCTTGTATGGTGGATCAGTCAATGGTAAGAATGCTCCTGAATTTAAAGACAAGGCCAACGTTGATGGATTCTTGGTTGGTGGTGCTTCATTGAAACCAGAATTTGTTGACATTATCAAGTCTAGATTGTAGATGTATTTAGCGAATCTAGCATATTTGATTTTATCTGAGAGGAATCTACATGTTTGTAATTGTTTATCTTTTCAAATATACCGGTAAGGTGTTGAAAGTATTCGGCTGATCTGTTTTGTAGGAAATAGTTGTCGATCCCCACATCGCTTTCGGTCAAGATCTCAGATCCATCAAAGTGATCAACCAATACTTTCAACAACTCATCTTTTTCCCCATTTATCCAGTTGGAAAGTGAGAAATAGAGCTTAACTGGAGAGGTCTTTAGCCACCTTTTCGCTTGGTCGGTTGAGCCAGTGTATGAGTGTAACACGACAACAATATTTTTGTACTTTGTAACCTCATCATACAACACACCGTGCGCTTTGACACAGTGCACTGATACCTGTTTCCCCAATGACTCTGCTAGCCGCAATTGGTATCTAAAGATATCCATTTGGTGTTCGATTCTCACACGTGATCTCGTGAGTTTATCCTGTTCCGCTGTGACATGATCTGGATTGCCAAGCCATCCCAGCTTCGGGACACGAAACAACTTGTCTAAACCGATTTCACCTATTCCATAAACTTTGACATCATGCTTTTTGATCATCTCCCTCATCCTATCGGTATGTTTATCCATGCTCATTGGCTCAGGCAACATCTCAATCAACTCGTCCAGAGGCTCTGGTTTGAGAACTCGGCGATAATGATCCTGCTTATTCGGTTTGGAACCTGTGTAGAAAATATGGCTAAACCATGGGTGCACTCCAAAATACGGTACAATTATGTCTGGCTTTTGCAATTGAGATAGTAGTATATCAATACATTCTATGTCAATGTGTTGCGTAGTCATCAAATGGAAAAACTTTATAGGAAACTCCACATCAAGTTCATTCAAGGACTCTGCTAGTTTATATGCATCTTCGCGGGTTGCATCAGGACTGAAGTGGCAATGGTTGTCGGACAAGTTATCCAAAGGTTCCTGCAACTGTTTCTTGGTCATCTCCATGCCCCAGAGTAAAAGTGAAGCGAAACGCAATGCAAAAAGCAAAAAGCAAAAAGCAAAAAGCAAAAAGTAAAAGCAAAACAGAGACAAAAAAATAAAAGCATCAACTACGTAGACTATAAAAAGACACCCACCCGTACAGTAAGAAGCTACCCGCCCATCCCTCCGTTAACACATTACAGTCCATATAGCATATCATTCTTGCCCACCACACACCGAACTTGAGTCAGTCCCACACGCGAAAATGTCGGATTCGACACCAATTAAACTACCTTCATCAGCTCCATTTCCCGTGATTATCTCATCAATACAATGCAAAAAGGGCGACACAATATCAAAACACGAGACTATTTTCAAATACAAGTACTGGGTATACCAAGATGATCCCAATTCCAAAGAAGATCCACCAACAAAGATGCGTGCAGAATGTATTGGTACTTTTGAAAGTCCCATTGAAGGCACGGTTGAATCGGTAGATATACATCCACAAGACGAAGTGACGCATAGCGAAGTTGAGATATTGCACGTGAAGGAAGCATGTGCTCATACTGTGCAGTATGGTGGATTATGTGCGTTATGTGGCAAGTCACTCGAAGAGGAGCGTGATTATTCAGGATATGATTATGAAGATCGAGCAACGATAGCGATGTCGCACGACAACTCAGGACTAAAGATAAGTTTCGACGAGGCGGCAAAGATCGAACATAGCACCACAGACCGTTTAAATGAGGAGAAGAAGTTGATTTTAGTTGTTGATTTAGACCAGACTGTGATTCACGCAACTGTTGATCCAACGGTGGGCGAATGGCAGCTGGATCCTTCAAATCCAAATTACCCTGCGGTGAAAGATGTGAAAACTTTCTGTCTTGAAGAGGATCCAATTGTGCCTCCAGGATGGACAGGTCCGAAATTGGCCCCGACCAAATGTTGGTATTATGTCAAGGTGCGGCCAGGCTTATCCGAATTTTTACAAGATATGGACACAAAATATGAGATGCACATATATACAATGGCAACTCGGAATTATGCTTTAGCTATTGCCAAGATCATTGACCCTGAGGGAAAGTACTTTGGAGATCGAATCTTGAGTCGTGATGAAAGTGGTTCACTCACACATAAGAATTTAAAAAGATTATTCCCCGTTGATCAATCAATGGTTGTGATTATTGATGATAGGGGAGATGTATGGCAATGGGAAAAAAATTTAATCAAAGTGGTACCATATGATTTCTTTGTTGGTATTGGTGATATCAATTCGAGTTTTTTGCCGAAGAAGAATGGGCAGTTGACGGGACCGATCAAAAAGAGAAAATCTGTGGCGAAATTAGAGGCAGCAGCTGAGTTGAGCAAAGAAGAGGAGGACGAAAAGAAGGAGAAGGCAAAGCTACGAGAAGGTGAAACTAATGGTGCGCAAGAGCAGGGTCAGGATAATGGACCTAATACAGTGGATAGAATCATTGAATTGGGTGGTGGTGAAGGAAACACAAACTTGCTATTGGAACAATCAATAACGCGGAATCAGTCCATTGAGCAACAGCAACATGACCGGCCATTGGCTAAACTACAACATGATTTGGAGCAGTTGCAGGAAAAGTCAGATGGCGAAAAATCGTCGCATTCTGAGGATGGAGAGGATGAAGACGAGGAGGAGAATTTGTTATATGATGATGATAATGAGTTGTCGTCGTTGTTGAAGGTGCTAGATAATGTTCATACAGAGTATTACAACTTGTATGATGACACAAAGGCCAAATTGTATAGCATCAAGCCTGATTTGACCAAAATAATACCGCGGATGAAGAGTCAATGTTTGCAAGGGGTAACAATACTATTTTCGGGAATCATACCGTTAGGTGTTAGTATAGATTCAGCTGACATTGTCATTTGGTGCAAACAGTTTGGAGTCAAAGTTGTAAATGAGGTACTACCTGAAGTGACTCATGTTGTATGTCGTGATGTTTCACCAGAATCCGGTCCTACTTTCAAAGCTAGAGTCGCCAATAAGTTGTACCCTGACTCGATCAAGATTGTAAATCCAGATTGGTTATTTTCATGTTTGAGTACTTGGACGAAAGTTGATGAGAAAGATTATTTGATCTCCACTTCTGATCCCAAGTTGTGGTTTGTCAAACCTGGTGAAGTAGAGAAGTATAAGAAGAGATTAGAAGAAGCTAAACGGAGGTCTGATTTGGCTGTGGATCCGTTGAGCAGTAATGGCGATGGATGGAACCCCGGTCGATTGAATTCAATTGAAGATTTTGGCTTGGATGAGGCAGACCAAGAGGTGGAAGAGTTCTTGGCGGGGCTTAGCGATGATGATGATGATGATGATGACGATAACGACGACGACGACGACGACGAGGAAGAAGAAGAAGACGAAATGAAGGCTACATCTGATGGCCAAGATTCGTTTATCCGTGACATGTATAAGAAAAAGAGAACAACTACAGAAGTGGAAAAGGAGGAAGATGAGGAAGATGAAAACAACGACCTGCTGATGGATGTTGATGAAAACAAGAAGCGAAAAATTCATTCAAGTGGTGATGGTGAAGAAGATATCGAGAATGAGATTGATGACTTGGAGCAAGCATTATTAGATGGTTTTGACGATTTGGAAGAATAGAGGAAGGAAGGATGCACCATCAAAGTGAAGCCCACTTACCACGGCTGTGGTCTCAACAATTAATCATGCAAGTAGTATATATCCCTGTAACAGTATAAAAAAAGATTTCCTTCGGTAGGGCAATTTAAAAAAACGCCATGACTATTCCGATGTTATGACGTCGGAGGTAAAAAAAAGTCTTGCACAAAATCAAGTTTGTTTATATGCAGGCCTCTCAACCAGCCACGCCTCCTTTTTCTTGTGCTTAACAAGACCGATCTTATTCTACATGATCAAGGAATAGAGAGGGGGGGGAAGCAACATCTTGGTTGATGACCACTACTTGTTAGAGATGATCTTAGGGAGTGGTTTGTTAACAAGTGTCTTTCTCTATGAACATTGTGGAATTGGTTTGTATTTGCAGTTGAGGCGGAGCGGAGTTTACTCAGATGTCCCCCTTATTGTTTTTTTTTTCTTTCTCAAAATACGGATATACGATAGTAGAACAAGGGGACCAGCGATTTGGGCCGAATTGCGCACACTGCCCCATACAACGACGTTAGATGGCATATCACGACTATCTAAGCCCATTTGAATGGTCAAACTAGGGTGGCTGAAGGTGTCATTGCTTTCTAAGGCTTAGAGTGAAAACTTTAAAAATCTGCAAAGCTTAAACTGTGTGGGGCAGTAACAAGAAAAAAAAATTTTATGAGCGTGTTCTAATTTTAGAAATAACATCATCACTACTAACTGCAAATGTGAACCAATTTTTTGATTGCTGAAGGGTGTGCAAGAATCATTGGCCTAGCCTCTTATACTTGAGAGAGGTACTCTGTTGTAATCTTGAATAATTAAGGGTTCACAATCTAGTCTTGCTTCTAAAGATAGAACGTAAGTACGTGGGTATGTGTATGTTGTCGGTGTAAGCGCGCTCACGTTAAGAAATTAGTCTTTATTTTGATTTTGTGTTAATGCAGGTAGACTTTTTATTTTTGGTCATTGACGGTATAAATATCACCAATATTCACTTCACAAAACATTGAAGCCATCTCACCAGTTACTGAGGTCTGGAGCCTACTTACTTATTTACTTACTAACTCGCTGCAACTATCTTTTCACACGCCAACACAATCACCTGTTTCATATAAACCAAAGTAATTTTCTGAAGATGGCCAGCATTTGCTATAGATTTATTCTTGTCTTCTTTTCCACCGCATGTTTAGTTCTCACTGCTTTTGCAATAACAGGATCTTACGAAAACAAATCGTACTTGACTCCAACCTACCTTATAAATTTCCATCTAAACAAGTTAGATTTACGACAAATCATCGACACAAACATTGGCCAAAATGGCAACAGCAACAACAATAAGCTTAAAAAGAGAGCTGATGAAACATCAGCTACTCCAACTGCAACAACTTCCGGTTCGCTTCCTTCTAACGCTCAGGGATGGATTAATATAGCAAGCAGTGTCGTGGGAAACTTGCCATCGGATGTGGCTAGCGCTGCTTCCGCTTTGGGCACCAACTTGCCATCATCAGTACCTAGCGATTTAATCCCCTCTAGCATTCCTTCCGGCGACGTTGACCAAACCATTTCTGCGGCAATTGCTGATTTGTTGAGTAATGTATCGCCCCAAGATTTAGGTATTGCGGATGTGTATTCCGTAAGTTATTGGGGATACTGTCGTGGAGAATTGAAAAATAATGGATCATCAGTGTTTGATGGTGATTTGGGGAGGTTTGTTAATGAAAATTTCGACAATTCAGATGTCGAATATACTTGGTGCTCACCTCCAAAAGCAGGTTATTTTTTTAACCCTACAACCGTTATTAGAGAAGAATTGAATAGAACCATTGAAGGAGAACAAATTGACTCACAATCACTGTTGATTAACCAATTGTCTTCTCAATATGTCAATGATTTGAAAGTTTTGGTCAATAATATAGCGGATGAGTATTTGAACTTGCCTGGTAATTTGCAAAATGATTTGACCATGTTGAACAATATAACAAAGGCATCTTTTGCCATGATGATCATTGCTGCTGCATTATCATTTCTTTGCATTGTGTTTCAGATCTTGGCCATGTGTATTTCTCCAAATAACTGTTGTTTATCTTTCCTTGACTTTGCACTACAAGTTGTTACTTTCCTTGCTTCCATATTAGCAGCTGGTCTTGCCACTGGTGCTTATATGTTTGTCAGAAGAAAAGTCAATGACGAAATGGACCAATATGGTATCAAGTCATTTTTGTCAATAAATTTTTACGCTTTTGCTTGGTCAGCAACTGTGGCTTCGTTATTGGTTGTTATTTTCAGTGCCGTTGGCCATTGTTGTGGTTGTTTTAGTGGAGAAAGAAGAAGGTATAGACAAGTTGCTGCTTATGAACATAAGCCAGAATATTGAGAAAGATGATAAAGATGGGGCAAGGCTACCATCCGGGTATAGTTTATATGTACGGATCATTCGTTTACGTTCTTTTATTTAATGAGAAATTTTTAGGGGTTTTTTTTGAAAATCCCTTAAGGGAAGTGTCATGAGTTGTAGCTCCGATCGTGGCTTCGATAATGCACAGAAGCGTCTTGCAAAGGAGAGAGAGAAAAAAAGGCAAAAAAAAAACAAAAAAAAAAAAAAAAAAAAAAGTGTAGGCGAAAGAGAAAGAATCTCGAGGATTGCANAAAAAAAAAAAAAAAAAAAAAAAGAAAAAAAAAAAAAAAAAAAAAAAAAAAAAAATAAAGTGTAGGCGACAGAGAAAGCATCTCGAGGATTGCAACACAACTAGAGCAAGTTGTATCATTTACTGTGACATGATTTGTGCAATCTCAGGTGAAGAAATTACTGATCCCATTGTATCACCAAAAAGTGGTGCCGTATTCGAAAGGAGGTACATTGAAAACTACATTAACACAAATGGCACCGACCCCATCAACAATGAACCTTTGAAGATTGACGAACTTATACCGTTGAAATTGGAAACCAACACCACATCCAATGGTGATATTTCTCCCGCAATATCAGTACCCAGTATGTTGTCCAGAATACAAACCGAGTACGAGGCGCTGCTTGCTGAAATCTCCCAACTTCGAAAAAACGTCGAGTCATTGAAAGAAGAATTGAGCACAAGCTTGTACCGACAAGATGCGGCGATCAATATTGCGACAAAAGCCATAAAGGAAAGAGATGAAGCTAAAGAGGCATTGGAGAAATTTTCTGTCTCAGGAAAGAGAAAGGCTGAAGCTGATGAGAATGGAGTTGATGTGGAACAAAAGAAGCAGAGAAAAGACAGTGGACACGACAGTATTAACGACGTACATGCTGCAAGAGACGAATTATTCAAATTGCACAAGGCTTTAAAAGTCAAGCTGCCGTACCAGCTGGATAAACTCACCATCGTGGATGAGAATTTAAAAGACGACGTGTTTGGCTCACATGTGGACCGAGTTCAATTTCATCCCTCAACAAAGGTGCTCATTGGTACTCACAAGAATGAAGTTTTGCAATATGACGTAAAGAGTGAGAAAGTGAATGTATGGAAATCGGGCTTGAAAACAGTTGGTCATGTTGTGTACAATAATAATGGTATTGTCGCTGCGGTAATAGGCACAAAAGTGTCCTTCTCAAATGGTGATTCTTTGACGACGAAAAGGAAAATATTGTCAATCACTGGTCATCCCTCTTTGAATCTATTTGTTATAACGACAGCAGGCAATTGGCTCATGACAAACACAAAGGAGATTCTAGCGACGCATCCAACCGACTCCGACTTCACGAAAGGCGAAATTCACGGGGACGGAGAGATTTTTGCCGCTTACGATGGGGATGAGGTCAAATTAATGAGTATTGTATCTGGAGAAGAACTCGCTTCGTACAAAGTCGAAAACAAGCACGTGCAGAAGATTTCATTCGCTGCTAATGGATACTGGCTTCTAGTACTGTCTACGTCAGATTCAAAAAACTCAATCCAGGTGTTTGACTTGAGAAAGAATGTTGAAGTCAACAAGTTGGAACTTCCAAGCCAGGCACACGTAGACAAGTTTATCATTGATCCTTCATCGAGCTTGATTGTGGTGGAAGCCGATTCGGGGTACTCGACTTATTCGTATTTGAAAAAATCACGAAGCTGGAATGAAATTGAGTCGCCATTTCAAAGTGGTAATAGGTTGAAGGGAGAGTTGTTTCTTTTTTCAAGTGGTGAAGATGTCGTTAATGAAGGAAACGTGAAGTTCATAAGCTACAACAGCGAAAATGGTAGCTGTACTATAACGAAGTTGACTGAAGAGAAAGCGAAATAGACTCCAACGTATATATATATATATATATATGTATGAATATATCTGTAAGTGCAAGTGCTGTAGTGGTGGTTGATGTCGCTGGCACGTTTTGTCGCGACGCAAAAATATGCTGGAAAAATTCCGCAATTCAAACTACTTGAACTCCTGGTGTACTTAATGGCAACCATATCGCAGGAGAAACTAGAGCAACTTGCTAAGCTGTGGGTGTCAATTGACCCAAATGAGGAGACCAGAGCAGAGATTTCGAACCTTCTCAAAGACAATCAATATGACAAGCTACAACGCAAATTGTACCCTCGTATAGCATTTGGAACCGCTGGATTGAGATCATCAATGGAGTCTGGGTTCGCCCATATGAATGATGTGACTGTTTTACAAGCATCCCAGGGTCTTGTGGAGTACCTTCTGACCAAATTTCCCAATCCTTCGATCGTTGTCGGATACGATCATCGATTTCACTCACAAAGATTTGCTGAGATTTTGGCTAGTGTTGCTTTACTTAAAGGCTTCACCGTGTATTACCTTGGATCGGTTGACAATTTTTCATCCGAATCCTTGAAATTCTACAATGGGGTGTTTAAAAATAATCATCATTCTTGCAGAGAGTACGTTCATACGCCATTGGTTCCATTTGCAATTGATCACTTGCATGCATCTGGTGGTGTCATGATTACTGCGTCACATAATCCAGCCAATGATAATGGCTACAAAGTATACTACGCCAATGGATGTCAAATAATCCCCCCGCAAGATGCAGATATTGCAGAATCGATAGAGAACAACTTGCGGCCATGCGGTGATGATGTTTGGCACATTATTGAGAACTTTGAGGACGGGTTGAAAAGAGACAAGTTGAAATTGGTCAAGCCCGAGATTGTTGAAGCATACGTCGCTTCTGTTAAAGACAAGCTAGTCAAGGAGGCTCGTCTTGATTTTGACTTTGTATACACTCCAATGCACGGTGTAGGATTGGAAATCTTTGAAAAATGCATTAGGTTATTCAATACGAAAAACTATTCAGTTGTTGAAGAGCAAAGCAAACCTGATCCTTCTTTTCGAACGGTGAAGTTTCCTAATCCAGAAGAGAAAGGTGCACTTGATCTAGCTATCGCCCAGGCTCAACTGACGGGCTCCAAGTTAGTCATTGCCAGCGATCCTGATGCCGATCGTTTCAGTGTGGCTATTGTTGATAAGCAAGGGAAATTCAAACAATTGACAGGTAATGAAATTGGGTTTTTGTTTGCCATGTACGTGATTGAAAACTTGGACAGGGCAAAGATATCCAATACATACTTGTTAAACTCGACTGTTTCATCGCAAGTTTTGAAATCCATGGCTGAAATAGATGGATTCAACTTTATTGATACGTTGACTGGGTTCAAGTGGATTGGGAATAAGGCCATTGACTTGGAAAATGAAGGTCACTATGTTCCATTCGGATACGAAGAAGCAATAGGGTTTATGTTTAACTTGGTGCACGATAAAGACGGGATTTCTGCCGCTGTTGTATTTTTGCAATTATATCAACAATGGTTTAGCAAAGGCGACGTGAGTGTCGTTGATAAACTTGAACAAGGATATAAAAAGTACGGCTGGTATAAGGATTTGAATGGATATTACCGATTGAGCGATGTCAGCCTCACACCTAAGATTTTCGAATCTGTCAGAAACTCGTACTCCAGTCACGACTACCCACAGACTATTGGCAACTTCAAAGTTACCTATTGGCGCGATTTAACCGTTGGTTTTGACTCATCTACGCCCGATGATCATAAGCCCATCTTACCGGTTGACCCTCACTCACAGATGATCACAGCAGTTCTTGCACCATTTGAGAAACCTCGAAATGACCAAGACCTTTCAGTGAGATTCACCTGTCGTGGATCAGGCACAGAGCCAAAATTGAAAGTTTACATTGAAGGTAAGTCTAGCGTATCTGAAACTGATGCGATCAAGATAGCTGATGATTGTTGGGAGACACTCAAAAACGAATGGTTTAAGCCTAAGGAAAATGGATTGGATGAAGTAAAACCATAATCGAAATAGGGCTAGGCTTTTGTTAGGCCTTTGGATACATATCGTTGGATATGGCGTACATAGGCTCAATAGACAATAGAGTTTATGTATGTAAGCCATTAACTTACAGACACTAACACGTGTAGCCCCTGCTACCTGTGGCTCTTGCATTGGTAGCAGTTCTCTCATAGGCAAAAAAAAAAAACCAAAAATGAACGTGAACCAACAATCAGTTGTCAAGTTTTACGAAAAAAACAAAAAAAAAAATAAAAAAACATAGGGATTAACCGGTAAGACAACTTGTGTTCAAAATTTCGTTGACGTTGCTCCATTAGCGCCTGTGGTAGCCATACTATAGCAACACCCCCAAGTTATCTGCTCGAGATGTCTTTGCGAAGTATGACGCCTGATCTATACGGCACCAAAAAGAATAATACCGATTTACCAATGTATGTTAATTCCTTTATATCTTCAGTTGATACGACTCTTGATACTAACCTCAGCCATAGATTCAACAAATTCACACCAAAAAAGCACTCGAATCGGATATTACTTAGGAGAATATTTTATTCGCTTGTGGTAATACTAGTCACATATACGATCTATGCAAAAGTGATTGTTGGTGGCAGCAGTCAGATACTCCCATCACTTGCCAAATCGGAAATAGAGAACAATCTAGAGCATGAGTTAGAACTTCAGCGACAACAACAAGAGGAGGATCTACTCAATAATGACCACCAGACATTCAAAGTGACAAAAGATGGGGTACAAGAAGTTACGGACCCAATGGAAATCACAACTGATGATTTGAAAAAGAGTAATGTGGAGTACTTTGATTTGAATGATTATCAGGGTTCATCTAGTGGTAATAGCAAAGGTGATGTTGTGCTATTTCTCATGCCTTTAAGAAACGCAGAACATGTGTTGCCCATGGCCTTTTACAATTTGATGAATTTAACCTATGACCACCTGTTGATAGATATTGCATTTTTGGTGTCTGATTGCTCACCAGATGACACCACGTTGGAGACCGTTTTCAGATACTCGATGGCATTGCAGAATGGTACATTAGTCGATTTGCTAAAACAAGAAGAGCAAAAGCAGAGGGGGGCACAAGTGAAAGGATCCAACGACTTGTACCAGTCTTACATGGAGCCCACATATATGGAAAATGTAAAGAAGGCTTATAGCAATCCTGAAACTCATCACAAAAATTACAGGACTCCATTCAGATCTGTCACTATATTCAAGAAAGATTTCGGACAAGTCATTGGACAAGGGTTCAGTGACCGTCATGCAGTCAAAGTTCAAGGTATACGAAGAAAACTAATGGGTAGAGCTAGAAACTGGTTAACATCTAGTGCATTGCGGGCAGATCACTCTTGGGTTTACTGGAGGGATGTGGATATAGAAACGTGTCCGGGAAATGTTATTGAAGAGCTTATGCTGCACGACTATGATGTCATGGTTCCAAACGTGTGGCGCCCCTTGCCCACGTTTTTGGGAAATGAGCAGCCGTATGATTTGAACTCGTGGATTGAGTCCGATGCCGCATTGGAACTTGCTAAAACTTTGGCCGAAGATGACGTTATTGTGGAAGGGTATGCTGAATACCCCACCTGGCGAGCCCATTTGGCCTACATTCGGGATCCGAATGGAAATCCACGTGAAGTGGTTGATTTGGACGGTGTTGGTGGAGTTTCCATTTTGGCCAGGGCCAAAATCTTTCGACAAGGGGTTCACTTTCCTGCATTCACCTTTTTGAATCATGCTGAGACTGAGGCGTTTGGAAAAATGGCCAAGAAAATGGGGTTCCGTGTTGGTGGATTACCTCATTACACCATATGGCATATATATGAACCAAGCGAGGATGATTTGCAGAAGATATCGAAATTGGAGAGAAGCAGGAGGAGGAAATCTAAACAGGGTTAATGTAGATTTTTGTACAATAAAAGAAAAGAATAAAAATCAGAAACATGGTTACCCCGTAGAAGTAACTCCAATCTTCTCCACTCCATCTTGCCCTTTCAAAAAATTGACACAATTTATACATCAGTAGGAAGGCAGGATTTTTTAATCCACGTAATTATACCGTTTGGTACAAATTACATTCAGAGATTGTTCACTCATCCATTTTAGTTCATCATAATATAAATTTTTTCTATGCGAAAATTGACCTCGCGTAGCGAATCGAACCCAACAATTTTGCAAGAGCTCTAGCATTCTTGAAACTGTTGTTGCAATGAAAGTCCAATACGCCATCGACGTCCAAAATTTTCAAATTGGATTATATAGGGAAGGGATTCTGATTTTTTATGCACGTGAAATTTGCTACGTCGCATCCATTTTTGCAACCACTTGAGCGCTTTCAGGAATGAGTGCATGTTCTAAAGCATTGAGATGTATGGCATACTTTATATTGTACTCTCTATTGTAGACAAAGCAACTCCCAGATAAGTAAGTCAATTGAGAAAAATTATTCAAAGTTTGGTATTAAAGTACGCCAAAATTTCCATACAACAACAGTAAAATTAAAATTCGAAAGTCAACTACTAAAACTAAAACAAACTCGATTTATAAAATTCAACATACTAATCTTGTGCATAACCTAATCACTTTAAGGGAAATGACCCTTTCTTGGTCCAAAATAGCCATCAGGAGCATCTATAGTAGCATTTAATCTTGATCCAGATACTCTCATTTGGAAGTCCCAACCTTCAAAACCAATATTGTTACCCCACCAATTAAGATCAATCTCATGGTACTCAACCGCAAAGTAGATGATGATTGAGGAGAAAGCAATACCAGCTTCAATACCAGTACCAAAAAGATAACTGTACTTCTGCCACCAAGCTTCGTACTTTCTTTTAACATAGTGCATCATTGCGTAACCCAAATACAAGCCACCAGTGCTGTACGACAAGTTTCCAGGAGCCCAAACAAGGAACCCACCCAAAAACACTGTTGGCTCAAAATACTTGGTATACCTTCTAGGAGCTAATCTCTTTATCACCACACAAACTAAACCAGCAAGGAACCCAATAAGGAAACAATATTTCAACACTGGATACAAACCGCCAAAGACTCTTTTTGGACCAATGACACCCCACAAAATTGATGCGTTGTAGAATGTGTTTGTGCCGTAACAGAAGAACTTTTGCTTGTTTTCTGGATCACAATAGTCTTTGATACCAGTGATTTGGTAATTCAAAATACCTAATTGAATAAAAGCGGTCACCAACACCGACAATAACTGAGTTCTGAACATTGCACGAGGTGGAACTTTTGCATAGTGTCCCATCTTCAAGTCATTCACGAAATTGTTTGCTTGTCCGTCAATATTATATCCCAAGGCTTTTATGAAGGACAACGCGAGACCATTACCTGGAATTGCATACCCGACAATCAACTCAACCAACACATTCAATCCAAAACTGAAGCCGGTTCTCGAAGCAACTGTGGTTAATGGAATCAAAAACAAGAAATTGATACCCAACGCAAAAAAGATACCCCAAACTGGAGTTTCGGCAGGATACAACTTCACACACAAAATGGCCAATACCAACGAAATCACCAAAATGATAGTATAAGCCCACTCAGGAACCTCTGGATAAGCTTTCATCATCACTGAGTGCGGGTCGGTCAAACCTTCGTAAACAGATCTTTTAAAGTTTCTGAAGCCTTTCAAAACTGAGACTGTAGCTTCATACATTGGCCTCCATTGGGTTCCAAGTTCATAGACAAAGTGAAATGGGTACAATGCAAAAAATGCGCCATATACCACCAAATTACCAGCAGAATAGAATGGTGGACCAATCTCTTGATACTTTTTGTCATCAAACAAACTTTTTTCATTAACTAAAGATTTCACATCGTACAACTCACCCGTATTGGAATATAAATATTGGGAGTTGATAGGCAAATAGCTGGTCCAAGAGGTGTTACTGTAATAAACACCAATCACCGCAAACATCGAGACAACCAAACCAGCATATCCAATGACAGTAGAATAAAATGGATAGTAAAAACCATCTGTGCCAATAACGTTAAAGTCCAAGGAGGGGATTGGGTTGACACCAAGTCCACCATAGGAACCAGTAGCAAGAGCGAGATTAAAGTTGTCCGGTTTGATCCATGTCATCCAATTGAATTGTGAGATTGATGTGAACAAGTAATCAGGAACCCAGAAGTAGATGAATGACACAGCAGCAACAATAAAGAACAAATTGTAACCCGATATTGTCCAGCCGTTGATGTTTGTCTTTTTCTCTGGAGACGTCAAAATCTTATTCAATCTCAATGTTGGCAAAAACGTTGGCCACACTGCCTTAACCGGATAGACAGCAAATGATCTAAGCAACCCACACAACGAGAATCCCATATATTGGGTGGACAACGTGAGCAAGATCTGGTAGCCAAAATCAACCCAATTGTTGCCGTAAAATATATCAGATTTCTGCATCAAGATATTTGTTGAGACGTAGGATGTACCAGAGGATACACCACAAGTAATGGTTGCCAACATTTGCTCTTTGTACGTGTACGGACCTGGGTTCAAGTCAATCTCCAAACCCAAAACTTTAAACTTCCACTTTGGCAAAATCCATTCCAAAATTTTTCCACTTGGATACAAAAACACTTGTACAACTGGCATACCAAGATCAATACCAGGAGTTCTTTCAACAAAGAATTGGTTGACAACAGCACCTAACCCGACCCAGATCAAAGAAATCAAATATACTCTGAAAGTTTCCACAGGGATGGTTGGATCGTCAAAGGGATCAGTAATAGTTCTAACTTGTGGGTATGGGGACCAATATGCAATAATCACAGCTTCCAATCTCACTTGTAAATCCCAATCTACGACATGATGTTCGTCTTTAATCTCTTCATCTTCGTCATTCAATGATGAGTTAGTGTGAGATGGAGTGGCTTTTTCGTCGGAACTACCAATGTTTTTCACTGGTTGAACAATCGATCCGAATTTCTCAGCAAAGCTACCACTCTTGGCAACAGTTTCAGTCTCTTCACGATTAATGTTGTGGTGAAAGACTTGGCCCAACTTGTTTCTTACCCCATCAGCAGGCTCATGATAGTAGATCAATTGCTTCCAAAATTCCAAATCTGACTCAAGGATGTTCACATCGTCATCATGTTCCTTGACTGCTTTCTTTAATATCTCAACTGCCTCCTCTATTGGCATTTGTTCAATCTTTTCGAATATGAAACTGGCTTGTGGAGGCAAGTCATCAAAAGATTCCAAAGCATCAAAGTGCAACCTACGTAAAACAAAGTCCTTCTGAGCATTTGTCAAAGTTGTCCCAACTTCACCTATTGATAATGGGTGAGATGCAATTGCTTGTAAATCAACCTCGTGGTCCTCCAATTGCGTGTGACTTGTTACACTAGTAACTTGGATCTGCCCTAAATTTTTCTCACTCATTACTGATTGCTTAAGTGTGTTGATTGCTAGTGGGTGCCTCCATTTTTAAGGTTTCATATGAGCTCTATTTATACTTAGGAAGATCAATGATTTATGATTTCATTTGCAGCCATTAACCATAGAATTTTTCACGGCCCACAATTAACGCACCAAAGTAGCCACAATTTTATCCAATTACGATTTTCGGGTTTCAAATTATGTGAATAAGCCAAACTAACACATTTTGTTACCAAAAACTCAGAAAAAAAACAGTCATAAAGCCTTCGTAGCTAAGTTCGTTTGTAACTTGTTGTCAGTTTACAATCTTCTTCTTGCAAGATTGGTCTACCCTTAGACAGCCCAGTTGTAGTCATGATGCCCAAGTGCTCATGATGACACCCAAGAGCCCGAATAGCTGAACAGCATGGTAGACTGGCTCTTCGCATTGAGCTATTCTCCTACTTGGCATTTTGGTTCCTGTGCGGCACCAAATAAATGTGATACTTTTGAACTGTGGATGTCTGAAGTTATTGCAAAAACTTTTGGTGCCACTCGAGCATTTGCCTCAAAAACTACACAAAGCGCAATATCGATCAATATCGAATGTCAATTAACCTGAAATTCGGTTGGATAATCCACAATTCAGTTTTGCATCTGGAAAAGATATCAAGGAGCAAAAAAGTCAAACCACGCCAAATAATCAAAGGCACTAATTGACAACAGCAAGTAACTTCGTAATTTTATTATGAGAGAATGGCAAACACGTGGGTGTTCACTATTTGATACGTACTGAGCGCCAAGCGTGGAAATAAGCTTTTATACAGGCCCGAGGGGCCATTGTAGTATAACATTTTGGTACTTGTCTTCTTCTGCTCCATTCTGCTCCATACTGCATCAAACTCGCGAGAGCCCTTCGCAGCCCAACAAAGTTTGTCGAAAAACTCTCAAGTTGATATTGTATCATTTATCCGACAAAAGCAGAACTGGCGAAACGAAGTCAAATTCAAAATCGTGAATTTTGTGAAGTCGTAATTTTGACACTTTGAATTGCACGGCACCAAAATTTAAATTTCAAAATGGGTGAACTAAAAATAGATCTGCGCAATACTTTGAAGATTTTGTGTCAACTTTGCTACAGTTGTGTTGCGTTTTTTATGATATGTTGCAGTTAAAGCCACACTTAGGAGTCCACACATATTTGATTGATTGAGTGCCGCATGCTAATGTACTTTGATTCTGCTTCAAAGAAAAAAGGTGACAGACAGAATTCAGAAGCTTAGTCCGCGGAAAGACAAAAAGCCAGGATCTTTGTTATGCAATCGATTATTATTATTGAAAGAGAAATTCAGTTATGAAGTGCATGACAAGCATCTACTAGCAATTACACTATCTAATTGTGGCATTTATTAAGTACAAGCTGAGTAGGTATGACGGGTGGTTTCTGCCAGGGGCACTCTCCTTCAAACTATTGGTCACTCAGCGCTCAATTCAGTCTCTAAGTTTAACAAAATCTCAATTCGAAAAATGTTCACATTCAATTCATGCTATATATATACAAGGTTGCAAAAAAAGGTACCTCTGTAGACACTACACATCTGTTTCAACTCGTATCCAGTACAAAAAGGTATCATGGAAAATGACCCTTTCTTGGTCCAAAATACCCATCAGGAGCATCTGTAGTAGCATTTAATCTTGATCCGTATTGCCTCATTTGGTAGTCTAATCCACTGTAAGATACGCTATTACCCCACCAATTAATGTCCACCTCGTGGTATTGAACAGCAAAATAGATGATGATTGAAGAGAAGGCGATACCAGCTTCAATACCAGTACCAAAAAGATAACAGTATTTCTGCCACCAAGCTTCGTACTTTCTTTTAACATAGTGCATCATTGCATAACCCAAATACAAGCCACCAGTGCTGTACGACAAGTTGGAAGGGGCCCATCCAATAAATCCTCCCAAGAAAATAGCAGGTTCGAAGTACTTGGTATACTTTCTAGGAGCTAATCTCTTTATCACCACACAAACTAAACCAGCGAGGAACCCAATAAGGAAACAATATTTCAACACTGGATACAAACCGCCAAAGACTCTTTTTGGACCAATGACACCCCACAAAATTGATGCGTTGTAGAATGTGTTTGTGCCGTAACAGAAGAACTTTTGCTTGTTTTCTGGATCACAATAGTCTTTGATACCAGTGATTTGGTAATTCAAAATACCTAATTGAATAAAAGCGGTCACCAACACCGACAATAACTGAGTTCTGAACATTGCACGAGGTGGAACTTTTGCATAGTGTCCCATCTTCAAGTCATTCACGAAATTGTTTGCTTGTCCGTCAATATTATATCCCAAGGCTTTTATGAAGGACAACGCGAGACCATTACCTGGAATTGCATACCCGACAATCAACTCAACCAACACATTCAATCCAAAACTGAAGCCGGTTCTCGAAGCAACTGTGGTTAATGGAATCAAAAACAAGAAATTGATACCCAACGCAAAAAAGATACCCCAAACTGGAGTTTCGGCAGGATACAACTTCACACACAAAATGGCCAATACCAACGAAATCACCAAAATGATAGTATAAGCCCACTCAGGAACCTCTGGATAAGCTTTCATCATCACTGAGTGCGGGTCGGTCAAACCTTCGTAAACAGATCTTTTAAAGTTTCTGAAGCCTTTCAAAACTGAGACTGTAGCTTCATACATTGGCCTCCATTGGGTTCCAAGTTCATAGACAAAGTGAAATGGGTACAATGCAAAAAATGCGCCATATACCACCAAATTACCAGCAGAATAGAATGGTGGACCAATCTCTTGATACTTTTTGTCATCAAACAAACTTTTTTCATTAACTAAAGATTTCACATCGTACAACTCACCCGTATTGGAATATAAATATTGGGAGTTGATAGGCAAATAGCTGGTCCAAGAGGTGTTACTGTAATAAACACCAATCACCGCAAACATCGAGACAACCAAACCAGCATATCCAATGACAGTAGAATAAAATGGATAGTAAAAACCATCTGTGCCAATAACGTTAAAGTCCAAGGAGGGGATTGGGTTGACACCAAGTCCACCATAGGAACCAGTAGCAAGAGCGAGATTAAAGTTGTCCGGTTTGATCCATGTCATCCAATTGAATTGTGAGATTGATGTGAACAAGTAATCAGGAACCCAGAAGTAGATGAATGACACAGCAGCAACAATAAAGAACAAATTGTAACCCGATATTGTCCAGCCGTTGATGTTTGTCTTTTTCTCTGGAGACGTCAAAATCTTATTCAATCTCAATGTTGGCAAAAACGTTGGCCACACTGCCTTAACCGGATAGACAGCAAATGATCTAAGCAACCCACACAACGAGAATCCCATATATTGGGTGGACAACGTGAGCAAGATCTGGTAGCCAAAATCAACCCAATTGTTGCCGTAAAATATATCAGATTTCTGCATCAAGATATTTGTTGAGACGTAGGATGTACCAGAGGATACACCACAAGTAATGGTTGCCAACATTTGCTCTTTGTACGTGTACGGACCTGGGTTCAAGTCAATCTCCAAACCCAAAACTTTAAACTTCCACTTTGGCAAAATCCATTCCAAAATTTTTCCACTTGGATACAAAAACACTTGCACAACAGACAGACTAAGACTGATTGCTGGATATCTTTCAACAAAAAATTGGTTGATTACAGCACCCAACCCGACCCAGATCAAAGAAATTATGTAGACTCTCAAAGTTTCCACAGGGATGGTTGGATCGTCAAAGGGGTCGGTGATGGCTCTAACTTGTGGGTATGGGGACCAATATGCAACAATAACAGCTTCCAATCTCAATTGTAAATCCCTGTCCACCATTTTGTAATAGTCCACCTTATGTTCATCAGCATCACTTAAGGAAGATGAGCCTTGTTTCTCAGATGTAAATGAGCTTTTATCCTCTAGATCTGAGACTCTCTTAATCGAGTGAATGATGGATCCCATCTTGCTTGCAAACCCGTGCGACTTTTCAGTTTCTCTATCACCAAAAGATTCAGTCATTTGAGATTTGTGTTCAAAGACCTTTCCCAACTTATCCTTTACTTCGCTCTTGGGTTCATAATAATTGACCAACTCCTTCCACAACTTAATGTCTGGCTCCATGATGTTCACATCGTTTTCATGTTCCTTGATAGCTTCTTTCAATATCTCAACTGCCTCCTCTGTTGGCATTTCCTCAATTTTCTCAAAGATAAATGTTGCCTGTGGGGGCAAGTCATCAAAAGATTCCAAAGCATCGAAATGCAACCTGTGCAAAACAAAGTCCTTCTGAGCATTTGTCAATGATGTTCCAACTTCTCCAAGTGACATTGGATGAGAAGTCAAAGCCTGAAGGTTTACCTCGTGACTTTCCAAATTTGTGTGACTCAACACACTGGTGACTTGAATATTATCTTGATTATTCAGAGTCATGCTTGGTGGGGGATGTTGCTGTTGCTTGAATGAAGTTGGTTTCACTTTTCATGTCAATTTGACTCCCATTTATACAACGGAACTGAAATTAAATTCACATCCACATGAGGGGGGTGGAATATTTCGCAACCAAAATTTGGGAAGAATTATCGTGCCGTAGGGATTTTCAAGTCATTTCACAAATCTGTTATCTTTTATCAGTTTTAGTTAACTTATTGTCCTGTAATGGGGTTACAAGGTTAGGAATGTTTTTCAAAAAAACAACCCCTATTGTTTGACAGTCCTTCCACTAAATCAAAATTTCAAGTGAGGACTTGCTGATACCATACGCGGTACAATTATCGTGCAGAATTTTCCATAAGTGACCATTAATTAAGTCTCAATGCATATACCCAAAGTTTTATATAGTAAGAGGCAACCCACTGGCGCTGAAGTCTCCTAGCCATTGATCCCCACTGATATCAGTCTCAAATAAAATTGCTTCCAAGAAACAGCAACCCATCAAAAAGTACGAGCTCCCATTACGTTTGAGGGTCATAGAAAATACAGATTACTCCAAAGCCGACCCTATTGAACTTGTCATCAAATGAGTCAAAAACGTGGCTTTCGTTCAAAGTTGAAGAATCTTCGTAAAATTGGGTCACAAGTAAATTTATTTTGCGTCGTCAACCCTTCTTCGGCAAGAAACCCAAATTGGCAAATCTTGGCGAGCTAATTGGTTGTCATATTCAACATCAGTTTTAATTTCAATGTAGGTCGGATATTTAAATGAGACAAGAAAAAAAAAAAAAAATAGCTCGCCGTATTACGTAAGATGTGTCACAACTTTAAGGCGTTGAAATGAAAGAGCCTTAAGTTCCAGCGTCGTGCGTACTTGAAGGTTTATATAATGAAGATATAATTTTAGAAGGTTTATCTTTCGAAGCGATCAAAGTCAAGAGGCCACTCCAGCTATCAACACAATCTTTTCATTACAGTTGAGATAGAGAAAAGGCTCTTGAGGGGCATATGTCAGTAATTAGTCTAAAGCTAAATAATTTTGTCTTTGTGAATTGACGCAACGTGTGATAGGAATCACAAAAATTGCCGGCGCTTATCAAAGAAACGTCAACTACAAAATGGTGCCGTACACCGACATGGTGGAATTTCCTTTGAACGAAATCCAATGACACAATACGCCTCCCACCCCCACCGGCATTTAATTACTTTGAGGTGATGATATCATCTATCCCCCGTTAACTTTTTATACAATCCCATCTCCCCTCCAGGGTATCCCTTGGTCAAATTTGACTCCGGTAGAGTAGACACGTAATCCATTTCTAGATTGCAAATTATTAACCGAAAAGAATAACATTTTAATTACATACACACTATCTCCCTCAAGGAAAGTGGCCTATTCTTGGACCTATGTAACCATCAGGGGCATTAGAGATGTCCAATCTTGATGCTGAATCTTGCAAGGCAGAGTCCAAACCATTATACTGCACACTATTTCCCCACCAATTTAGATCCTTTTCATGATATTGCACTGCAAAGTAAATAATGATCGAGGAGAATGCAATACCAGCGTCAATTCCTGAACCAAGCAAGTAATTGTATTTTTGCCACCAAGCTTCATACTTTTTTCTAACATAGTGCATCAGCGCATACCCAAGATAAAGTCCACCTGTAAGATATGACAAGTTTGTCGGTGCCCAGTTCTGAAATGCTCCCAAAAAAATGGCTGGCTCAAAGTACACAGTGTACTTTCTTGGCGCGAGTTTCTTGTAAGCCACACACAATAATCCAAAAATAAGACCAATCAAGAAACAGTAGGGTAAAGCTGGATATAAACCTCCAAAGACACGTTTGGGTCCAATGACACCCCATAAGATAGATGAATTGTAGAAATCTCTGCTACCGTAGCAATAGAATTTCTGCTTATTGTCCAAGTCACAGTAGTCCTTTATGCCAGTAATTTGATAATTTATAATGCCCAACTGAATAAACAATGTAATCAATACGGACAACAACTGACTTCTAAACATGGCACGAGGTGGTA